ACTTAATTCCACCTTCTTTTTCAATTTCAACGAACTCACTAACATGAGATTTTAAATATTCTTTCGTTAAAATTGTTTTCCCCGATGTTATGTCATTAACGAAACTATCACCGTCAAAAGTTAACGAATTCAATTTCGTCGTTGATGCTTTTATTTCATACACCGCTTTATCGATAGTTTTTGGCTCACCTTCTTTAGAAGCATATGAAACATTAATGAATGAATTATATGTATTCGTGAATGAGTTAAAATCAATGATTTTCATTAATGACGCCTTTAATGATTCATTAACTGTTGAATCCCTTAAAGTAATTAATGAACTGTCATGGGCTTCGCCCTGGTCGCTTCGGTCTGAAAGACCTTCAGGACTCAAAGAGTCCGTTTGCGACTTTATGAAAGGTACACTGCAAACCGTCGAGTTTGGATCAAATGCTGTAGTTGGTGCAGGAATATTAATGATATAAGTCATTAAATCATTAAGTGACGTAAATAATGTTGTCGTTTTTGATTTAATTTCTTTAGCATCTGTTATATATGGTAATTTTATTTCTGTAGTTTCTGAATTAAAGATATTCGCTAAAATGTTTTGTAAACTGTTTTGAACAGCAGTATAAACCGTTGAATCCGGAACTCTTACGATTTCACCGTCCTTAATAAAAGGCATTGCACATGGTGTAGTGCTTGGGTCAAATCTTTCGGGATTATAATTCAACATATATTCTAATGCTTCATATACAGACTTATATACTGTTGTGTCGTTCTTCATGACAACTTCACCATTTACAATGAATGGCATTGTACATGGAGTTAAAATAGGGTCAAACTTTTCATAGTCCTTCCATGTTATGTATTTCTCGGTATTTCCATCACTGATAACAATATATTTGTCAGTAAGTGTGAGAGAGTATTGACCAAAATATAAACGTTTAGCTCTGTCAGCTTCATACGCATATGCAGCTATACTCATATTTTAATGAGAATAAAATGTTGTTCTATTTGCAAAGTACAGACCCAAACGAATACGGGACAGTAAAGCTACAAACAAACTTAGGTCTACAGAATGAGCCACTTGCATTCAGAATGGTTGACTTCAATACTATCGCTTCATTCGTTATAACAGATGAAACAGATTTCATGGAGCTTGAAATAGATGGAAAGAAGCACGAAATAAGATTTCACAATAATGTAGAATATAAGATGGAAACATTAGCTGGAGTGTTAAATGCTCTCATAAATACTACAATAAACAAGGAGAACGAAGAAAACTTAATGAATGTTAAACTTATTGCAGGAGTTTTGAAGTTCAGTTATGCGAAGGAGTTTAAGATAACACGAATGAGTCATAGAGTTCAATTGCTTCTGGGAGCATACCATATGACATTTCCTTTGAAAAGTGTTGACAAAACGATTGAGATGAAATCTGTTCCATACGTATGTTATGGTAATTGTTTATACATTGAGTCAAAAATAGCTAATGTCACAGGTATTTCAGGAGTTAATAGTAAAGGTTCAGTAGAATATAATCTTTCTGTTATGCAGTCAATTCAATGTTCATTCCAAACGTTCCTGTCATAGCAACTCATTTAGGTAAATGGGTTCGCATTAGTCCTCATAATTTGAAAGACATGCAATTCAGACTTGTTGACTTTCAAGGAGAGCCTGTAGAACTGAAGGCACCAGTGCGAATGACTGTTGAAGTTGACTTTTTAGAAAATATTAAATGCAACAGCTTACAAGAGAACTCAGAGCTAAAAATATAAAGTATGAATGTTATGTATTAGGTCATGAACTTTGGTTGTTGCTGTTTGATGAAACAAATGAGTTAGTTATGTCAGTCAAGAGAACAGAAAAAGGCGTCAAAGGCGCCGAGCGCAAAGCGCTATATTGTGTTAGTGAAAACTGCACCAAGTCAATAAGATTAGGTTTGCATTATGAAGATGAGTTCGATACTGTTGAAGAAGTTTTGGATAGATATTACAAATTGCTTTAATTTACTAAAACATATTTCAAACAAAGCTTATATTCTGTTGAAAGTTTTGTATACTCGTTCGAATATTTATACTTAAACTCAACTCCTGTAGTTCCTGGTGTTTCAATGATGCGGATGTTACCTATTTTCATGAATGGTGGCGTTTGACCACAGCATTCGATTTCAGGGTCGAGATAGTCAATGACACATTGTTTCCCTGTTATTCGTGAGATAACATTTTCAAGGTCCTCCTTTGTTAGAATTATTTGGTTCTTGCTTATAAGATTTGTCAAAAGCTTCTTATCGTCTTTGAGTAAAATTGTTTGGTATAACTGAAGAAGGTAATGGTCTACGTTATCTGAAGGATTTGTTTGAACATTTGTGTAAGGGTTGTCGTTGGCTTCTCTTGAAAGAATTTGGTCCAGTGGTGGATACTCTAACTTAACATCTGATGTAGCGTTAGCGTTTGAAGCTGTGTTTAAATTCACGGATTTCAGCTCTGGTTCTTTTTCTTTCAAACACTCTGAACTATAGTTCTTTATGACAATATTGTTTGTCGTTCGTGAGTCAACATTTGATGTTGGTTCAATTGGAACATTAACGGCACCAGCTAAGATGGATTTGCTTCTCATTTCATATAGAATAAAAACCTTTTATATGTATGAAATGAACAATATACTCGACAAGGGTTTGAATGTAAAGCTAACGAATGAAAATATTGTTGAATTCACTGAGACAGGTGTGTATAAAGATGTAGAACTACTGAACAAAAGAGCTAAGGGAAGAAGCAGGAACATGAACAAAGGGTGGAAGCCTATAAAAATTTATGTCAATGATGGCTCAGGAGGTTCAAACATAAAGTATGCAGAAAGTTATAGAGTTTATGCTCTCAAAGGTGAAAAGCCTTCATTTAAGAACAGCTATTCTAACGCATATCCTCAAAAGCTAACGGATGGGGAAGTGGATGATATGAATGACAGCAAAAATATTAACAGAAATGGCGACAGAGATGCATGGAATTTGTTTACCATCAGTCAATTGAAGGTTAAACTTTAAAACAATGTTGGTCGTTCCCATGGAATATTTTTGACTTTAATGGTATTAGTCATGATATGAATCTCAAGGTATGAACGAGGAGAGATGAGAGACTTATATGCTTCCCAAATTTCTTCAAAAGGTAATGTTATACCTGACTGTTTCCAAATGAGTTCAATATCATAACGTGAGAAACCTTGAAAGATAACGAAGTCAGTTATGAGACGTTTTATGTTTAAAGCAAAACGCCATGTTTGCATAAGTATTGCTACAGTTAATGGTAATGTCTGACTTTAGTTATGATGTTAGCTAATGGTGAGTCAGGCTTTGACACTAAACCTTTTCCGGCGAAGTCGTCGCAAACGAGCAGAGTTTGAAGGATACTTTTTGAAGGGGTATTTTGAAAGTTTTGACAGAATGTAGTTTGTAAGTCGTTTCATATCGTAAACTCCTGAGTATTGACGTAAGTGGTGTTTGTCAATAATTCTTTCCATCTCTTCTGAAGTCTTTTGCATTCCTGACTGTATAAATTCAACGATGGCATAATATTTCCTCTTACGTCGAATGTAACGTTGAAGAAATTCAATGAGTTCGCTATCTGGAACTTTAACGACAGAGGCTTGAACTTTTGACATAAATGTTTTCGCTGTTGAGTCCATAGAGTCTGAAGTTGCTGATATAATGATTTGGTCATAATAGAGTCATTTCCTAAACGCTCTGTTATGAGTATATGACGAATGAGGTTAAATGTCTTACCTGAACCCATCTTTCCACAATAGAAATAACACACCATTTGAACAGAACTCATAGTCCTTACTGAAAGGAAGAATGAGAGAAGAGTTAAGTTTGTCTGTAGTTTCATTCATGTCTTCATCTACGTCATGTATTAAATGCTTCATTTTATCTCCATTAAAAATGCAAGTCAGAAATATTCAGAACATAGCACCGAGTCTAACTGACAAGAGTATAAAGATATACTATGAACACGTTATGATGAAACCTACCAAAATTCAAGAAAGTCAGTATACTTATGAATATCCAAGACACTGGGTAGAGTATGTAGGAGGTGAGAAAGCTATTGAAATAAGACAAGTTAGAAGTATTCCAGCAGGAAGAACAATATTATTGAAGAACTTTAATGTTTTGAGGTATAATGATGAAACAAAGAAGCAAGATAGTTTTCCTGTTGCTGTGTATGTGAACCTAGACACAGGAGATGACATGAAAGTTTTTAACACAAAGCTTCAAACGGTAGTGAGAGAACAACTGACTGCGGAAGGGCATCCATTACCTTCAGAAGTTACCATAGCATATAATTTTGAAACAAATGCAATAGATTTTAAAGTCGTCTCTGCAAAGAATGTCAGGTTTTACATTTAATGAAAGCAGATGTATATTCGAATGAAAACTTCAAAGCTATTGCATGGTTAGATAATGACGATTGCTTTAAGAAAATATTTAAATTCAGTGACTCAACGATGTCAATAGATGACCTTCGTGGAATGTTACCATCGACGTTTACAGTTGAAGGTTCAGCAGGATTGCTTACAAGATTGTCAATTGGTGGCATTTGGTCTCGTGAGAACATTGTTATAAAATCCAGTATAAGTGAATTTGCTGAAGAATCTATATTATGTCTTTCAAACTACATGTATTCGCCACCGAAGCATTATAGTATAACAAACTTTGTCAGTAAGTTTAACATAAGACTTGTCGAACCTTCTTCAATGAAAGATTTGTGCTACCTAAAGATGGAAAGGATGGACTCATTATTGAGATGATTTTAATAGCATATTAAATGAGCTTGTTCTTGAAGGTCATTCATGATGAAATAACTGTTGTAGAAGATGTTAGCAATTGTTCAGACATTTTGAAGCGAATCGATGAGATAAGAAAGAAGTTTATGAATGAGAATGTTTATGTTTCATTGACTTTCTCCAGTAACGAGAACTTTTATGAGATAATATTGAAGAGAGATGATTTTAATATGGTGTAAATGGTAGCTTGGGCAGCTTTAGGCGCAATGGGAACAAAAGCATTAGCATTTGGAGCAAAAGCACTTGGAGCTTATGACGCAGTAAATAAAATGAGTGGAGGAAGGGTTTCGAAGACATTAGATGCAAATAAAGGGAAGATTGGAGGCTGGGTTGCAAAGAAGTTAAGATTAAATAAAATAGGGCTCATAAATAAAGCATCCAATTTGGTTGCGACTGAGTCAGAAAATGCTTTAGGAAAGGACGATGAGTTTGCAAAACATGCAAAAGACTTTAATGACCAGATGAAAGGTGAAACAATGCATTTAAATAGAGTCGATGGAACTAAAGAAAATGTTTCTTCTCCACCAGTAGTTCTTCCGTATGGTCCCTATGGAATGTATGGAAACCCTTACGAAAGACCATTTGACCCATTGACTGGTGGAAGTAACTGGTATCATTACGGACGAAGAAGAAAGACAGTCAAGTTGGAGACAGACGTGAAGAAAGCAACTAAAAAGAAACCAAGGAAGAGAGTTATAAAGTAATGAATTCACAAGGTTAGAAATGAGGGTAGAAATGAGGTTAGATCTACCCTTCTACCCTAAATTTATTTTTGCGCTATGTTTTCATACGTGTGAGGGTGGTGATATCATTAATTTTTAAGTTTATTTTTTATTTTATTTGGATGTAAATGACGAAAACTATTGAGATAACAAACTACAACGGTCATGAGTTCAAGAATTTGTTCTTCGTTCCTCGTGAAAATACATTCTATCAGATACGAGGGAGAAAGGGTAAAGTTAGTTTGAGCGTTTATGAAGGAATGAAGAATGGAAAGTTTATACAAGCATACGATACAAACGGTAAACGTGTTTCATTAGCTTTGTCAAAACTTACTAACATTTATTTTGACAGTGACTTTGACCTATATGAAGAAGAAAGTGAGTCAGAAGATTATGAGCTGTTATGTGAAGCACAGCAATGGGAGGAGTTGCAATACTTTTGTAAGTGAGAACGTTTATTTTTACATTAATGAAGTCGTTAGTGGTTGGCGGTTTGTAAATATTTAAGGTTAAGTTAGTGTTGTCGTTTGTGTTGTAAAATATACGTTAACGGTTTTGTAAAGTGTCAAATTCACAAGTATTGGGTAAAGTGAAACGCAGTGCCTCCATACACGACTTATGTATACTAACTCAAATACCACCAATTGACAATCTTGTAAGCAATCCTGCTGAACCTTCAACTGTAAACGTCGATGGTAACATTCCACGAAGGTCATCTATTGACATCTTTGAGTCACAGAATTTAAAGATTTTCTTAAAGCAATCGTCATTATCTAACCATGCAATAGCTTTGAAGTTTTCATTCGAATATACATCTGCTTCATTAAATGTAAAACCTGACTTCTTTGCAGAGATGACTTTAAAATCTATTGAGTTTGTTTCAAAATTATATGCTATGGTAACTTCTGAAGGTAATGGATGTCCTTCCGCAGTCAGTTGTTCTCTCACTACCGTTTGAAGCTTTGTATTAAAAACTTTCATGTCATCTCCTGTATCTAAGTTCACATACACAGCAACAGGAAAACTATCTTGCTTCTTTGTTTCATCATTATACCTCAAAACATTAAAGTTCTTCAATAATATTGTTCTTCCTGCTGGAATACTTCTAACTTGTCTTATTTCAATAGCTTTCTCACCTCCTACATACTCTACCCAGTGTCTTGGATATTCATAAGTATACTGACTTTCTTGAATTTTGGTAGGTTTCATCATAACGTGTTCATAGTATATCTTTATACTCTTGTCAGTTAGACTCGGTGCTATGTTCTGAATATTTCTGACTTGCATTTTTAATGGAAATAAAATGAAGCATTTAATACATGACGTAGATGAAGACATGAATGAAACTACAGACAAACTTAACTCTTCTCTCATTCTTCCTTTCAGCAAGGACTATGAGTTCTGTTCAAATGGTGTGTATTTCTATTGTGGAAAGATGGGTTCAGGTAAGACATTTAACCTCATTCGTCATATACTCATAACAGAGCGTTTAGGAAATGACTCATATTATGACCAAATCATTATATCAGCAACTTCAGACTCTATGGACTCAACAGCGAAAACATTTATGTCAAAAGTTCAAGCATCTGTCGTTAAAGTTCCAGACAGTGAACTCATTGAATTTCTTCAACGTTACATTCGACGTAAGAGAAAATATTATGCTATTGTAGAGTTCATACAGTCAGGAATGCAAAAGACTTCAGAAGAGATGGAAAGAATTATTGACAAACACCACTTACGTCAATACTCAGGAGTTTACGATATGAAACGACTTACAAACTACATTCTGTCAAAACTTTCAAAATACCCCTTCAAAAAATATCCTTCAAATACTTTGTTAGTTTGCGACGACTTCGCCGGAAAAGGTTTAGTGTCAAAACCAGACTCACCATTAGCTAACATCATAACTAAAGTCAGACATTACCACTTAACTGTAGCAATACTTATGCAAACATGGCGTTTCCTTGCTTTAAACATAAAACGTCTCATAACTGACTTCGTTATCTTTCAAGGTTTCTCACGCTATTGACATTGAACTCATTTGGAAACAGTCAGGTATAACATTACCTTTTGAAGAAATTTGGGAAGCATATAAGTCTCTCATCTCTCCTCGTTCATACCTTGAGATTCATATCATGACTAATACCATTAAAGTCAAAATATTCCATGGGAACGACCAACATTGTTTAAAGTTTAACCTTCAATTGACTGATGGTAAACAAATTCCATGCATCTCTGTCGCCATTTCTGTTAATATTTTTGCTGTCATTCATATCATCCACTTCCCCATCCGTTAGCTTTTGAGGATATGCGTTAGAATAGCTGTTCTTAAATGAAGGCTTTTCACCTTTGAGAGCATAAACTCTATAACTTTCTGCATACTTTATGTTTGAACCTCCTGAGCCATCATTGACATAAATTTTTATAGGCTTCCACCCTTTGTTCATGTTCCTGCTTCTTCCCTTAGCTCTTTTGTTCAGTAGTTCTACATCTTTATACACAGCACCTGTCTCAGTGAATTCAACAATATTTTCATTCGTTAGCTTTACATTCAAACCCTTGTCGAGTATATTGTTCATTTCATACATATAAAAGGTTTTTATTCTATATGAAATGAGAAGCAAATCCATCTTAGCTGGTGCCGTTAATGTTCCAATTGAACCAACATCAAATGTTGACTCACGAACGACAAACAATATTGTCATAAAGAACTATAGTTCAGAGTGTTTGAAAGAAAAAGAACCAGAACTGAAATCCGTGAATTTAAACTCAGCTTCAAACGCTAACGCTACATCAGATGTTAAGTTAGAGTATCCACCACTGGACCAAATTCTTTCAAGAGAAGCCAACGACAACCCTTACACAAATGTTCAAACAAATCCTTCAGATAACGTAGACCATTACCTTCTTCAGTTATACCAAACAATTTTACTCAAAGACGATAGAAGCTTTTGACAAATCTTATAAGCAAGAACCAAATAATTCTAACAAAGGAGGACCTTGAAAATGTTATCTCACGAATAACAGGAAAGCAATGTGTCATTGACTATCTCGACCCTGAAATCGAATGCTGTGGTCAAACTCCACTATTCATGAAAATAGGTAACATCCGCATCATTGAAACACCAGGAACTACAGGAGTTGAGTTTAAGTATAAATATTCGAACGAGTATACAAAACTTTCAACAGAATATAAACTTTGCTTGAAATATGTTTTAGTAAATTAAAGCAATTTGTAATATCTGTCCAAAACTTCTTCAACAGTATCGAACTCATCTTCATAATGCAAACCTAATCTTATTGACTTGGTGCAGTTTTCACTAACACAATATTTTTCTGTTCTCTTGACTGACATAACTAACTCATTTGTTTTCATCAAACAGCAACAACCAAAGTTCATGACCTAATACATAACATTCATACTTTATATTTTTAGCTCTGAGTTCTCTTGTAAGCTGTTGCATTTAATATTTTCTAAAAAGTCAACTTCAACAGTCATTCGCACTGGTGCCTTCAGTTCTACAGGCTCTCCTTGAAAGTCAACAAGTCTGAATTGCATGTCTTTCAAATTATGAGGACTAATGCGAACCCATTTACCTAAATGAGTTGCTATGACAGGAACGTTTGGAATGAACATTGAATTGACTGCATAACAGAAGGATTTATATTCTACTGAACCTTTACTATTAACTCCTGAAATGCCTGTGACATTAGCTATTTTAGACTCAATGTATAAACAATTACCACAACATACGTATGGAACAGATTTCATCTCAATCGTTTTGTCAACACTTTTCAAAGGAAATGTCATATGGTATGCTCCCAAAAGAAGTTGTACTCTATGACTCATTCGTGTTATCTTGAACTCTTTCTTGCTACTGAACTTCAATGTTCCCTCAGAAGAGAGTTCGACATCTATGTTGTCAATAGTTTCTTCATTTATGAGAGTACCTATGACTCCAGCGAGATATAAAAATTGCTCACATTTGCTCACATTTTGGCACTTTTTTTGTACGTTTGTCAAAAAATTGTGAGGAAGATCTCACAAAAATAGTCAAAATATGAGCAAATTTTGAGAAGTGCTCACATTTTGACATACGATTATTTTCATACGTTTTTTTGATGAATTCTAATAAAACTTCATTACCACTTTCAGAACGAAGCGTAACTTTTCAGCACGTAACGCTCTATCATGTGTAGTGACATATTATTCAAAAAAACTCAGATTGCTTATCTTATAATAACAATTTCATTAGAAAAAATGCACGATTTCACGCTAAAACTTTGAAGCAATTCTTAAATTCGGATAAAAAATCGATATGTATTACACTTTAAACTTCAAAAAATGGTTCAAAATTTAGACTTAGTTTATCTTAACAATATAGCAGATTTTAAGCCGAACAAGTAGGAGTAATAGAAATAGCTCTTGAAAATAATTACAATTAGTAATATGTAAGTCAAAGTTCGAGTATTCTAATAAATAAACGTTCCGGATTTTCTTTACTACAAGAATCAATACTTAATATATAGAAGCAACAGTAAAAACTTATTAGAGATTCAAAAAGAAAGTTGACTAAAGAGAATCTTTTTATATAAGTAATTTTATTTTTTTGAAATACGAGATCGAATAAACATGTATTTTATTTTATTACTATAATAATACGTTTTTACATAGTAAGAAAGTTTAGAGACTGAAATGAAATTAAAAATTGAGAAAAAAATAAAGCTTTTCTATAAAAATTCATATTAATATATAGTATAATGATATTACAATTTATTGATCAAATAAAAAGAATATTTGTTGAATAATTTCTGTTCAAATTAAAAGTTCTTCAACTTACGGTAAATCTATCTGCCTTAAAAAGTATTACGATATTATGCAAAGTCAATTTTCTCCAAAAAAATATTTGAAGATGATACTTTAAGTATACCAAAAATACAAGAATTTTGAGAGAACTCAATGAATTTTTGTGAAGGTGGAGTTAAATTGAGAAGATTTTTGGTCAGAGAAAAACAAAAATTACTATCTGATAAAATGGTATTAAAATGAAAAAAGTTTAAACAAAGGAAATGAAGAATTTATATTATATTAGAATTTAAAGAGTAAATATAAAAGATTGAAAGAAAGAATAATAATAGGATTCTTGAATGCAACATTTGGAATGATGTTTCCAGTTGTAGATGTGTTAAGCAAAGAGAGATAATGATAGTTTCTTGAGTTTTGAGTTAAGCTTGTTGTAGATGAGAGAGAAATTTTGACGAGACTGAGGAACTTCATTTGGAATGATGTTTCCAGTTGTAGATGTGTTAAGCAAAGAGAGATAATGATAGTTTCTTGAGTTTTTGCAATTAACCATCCTCAATGACTATTGTTTTAATATAATTTTTAAATTTTTTAAAACTGACATTTTAGTTGTATATTTTTTCTAACAAAGGTACATTCACTAGGCGATAACAGTAAAATGGGATGAAAATATGATAAATAGCATCCCTATATAGTGCCAAACAATATTTATACGGGCCAAAAAAATTGGCTAGAGATTTGGCGAGTTATAAAACTTAGAAAATTGAGAGGGATTTTTATTTTTGAATTTTTTTTGGAAAGTTAAAATTGCGATTAAAAATCGATTTCCAGGAGAACTAAGCATCTCATCATATATTTAAATCGATAAAAATATTAAATAATAGTTGAATAGTATAACAACGTGAAATTATGGCTGAATCTACAGAAAAAATGAACATATTTGACATTTTTGAAAATTCATACGTTAGATGGTGACAGACTCATAAACTATACTTTAGCTAAGATTGATATATGGTTTCAACAACACATGGTTAAAATTGTAAAAATATTTTAGATTTCAAAAAGATATATATGGTAATATAATGGAACAAAGTCAACAAATAGCATGTTAAATATGTTATAATTAACTTTTTATTAGATCCAATAGTAGATATCGAATGGTTTCCAGCTTTATGGTTAAATATTTTCTTTTCGAGCTTCTCTTTAACTGTTGTATTAAGGTTGTAAATTTTTGATGCTAGAAACTATGGAATCTTCTTTGCTGCTGCATTTTTCTTGAGAGTTCTTGCAATTTCGAATAGATCTGCGCATTGTATGAAATTGAGGCTTTAAAATATCTTGAAAACAGAATAGGACTGCTTTTCCAAAGGAATGCTTACTTGTAAATCAGAGAGTTTCAAAATTGAGAGCAAGATTATCATCATAACTTTCGATTTTGCTGCGAAAAAGGAAGACAAGTAATTAACAAATCATTTACTGTTGTTCATTAAAAGAAGAAAACTTTGATAACAACTAATGATGATAAAATCAAGCTATCTTTTAATATTTTAAATTGATAAGACATTCAAAATATTTGAATGGTTTAAAATATTTTCTTTTAATTTCTATAAGATATTATCATGATTATATAATAAAATTTAAATTTTTATTCAAAAAGGCAATATTTCAAACTTTTAATTTCAAAAATCTTAATTCTGCAATAAGTGTATTTAATTGTAGCAAATTTAATGATCCTTCGTCATGCTTAGCAATTTGGAACTCATAAATTAATGATTTCTTCAAGTAAAATTCTGCATTATTTCAAAAGTCAATAATTCTCTAGTAACTTTTCTTCAAACCCTAACCATTATATTATATGTATAATGGAGAATAATTGCAAAGAAAGATAGCCGAATTTACTGGGTAGTTCTTGTGATGCGAAATAATTGCAAATTAACACATAGTTTTAACAGCATCAATCTCTTTTTGCTCTCATTTAAATGCATTCGCACACTTTAATTTTGAAATATAAGAGTTTTGGAAATTATCAAATTTATCTGCTCAAATACTATAGATCTTCATAAGTGTTAATAGAATCACCAGCCTTACATATAGTGTTTAATATAATGATGCACATCATACTGGGATTTATTCCTTATTCATCTAGTTATTATAAGATTTACAACCCCATGAAAATTTAAAATTTTGTCAAAAATAGTGAATGTACCTTTTTTCTAACACAACTATCAATAAATTGTAATATCATTATACTATATATTAATATGAATTTTTATAGAAAAGCTTTATTTTTTTCTCAATTTTTAATTTCATTTCAGTCTCTAAACTTTCTTACTATGTAAAAACGTATTATTATAGTAATAAAATAAAATACATGTTTATTCGATCTCGTATTTCAAAAAAATAAAATTACTTATATAAAAAGATTCTCTTTAGTCAACTTTCTTTTTGAATCTCTAATAAGTTTTTACTGTTGCTTCTATATATTAAGTATTGATTCTTGTAGTAAAGAAAATCCGGAACGTTTATTTATTAGAATACTCGAACTTTGACTTACATATTACTAATTGTAATTATTTTCAAGAGCTATTTCTATTACTCCTACTTGTTCGGCTTAAAATCTGCTATATTGTTAAGATAAACTAAGTCTAAATTTTGAACCATTTTTTGAAGTTTAAAGTGTAATACATATCGATTTTTATCCGAATTTAAGAATTGCTTCAAAGTTTTAGCGTGAAATCGTGCATTTTTTCTAATGAAATTGTTATTATAAGATAAGCAATCTGAGTTTTTTTGAATAATATGTCACTACACATGATAGAGCGTTACGTGCTGAAAAGTTACGCTTCGTTCTGAAAGTGGTAATGAAGTTTTATTAGAATTCATCAAAAAAACGTATGAAAATAATCGTATGTCAAAATGTGAGCACTTCTCAAAATTTGCTCACATTTTGACTATTTTTGTGAGATCTTCCTCACAATTTTTTGACAAACGTACAAAAAAAGTGCCAAAATGTGAGCAAATGTGAGCAATTTTTATATCTCGACTCCAGCAATTTTATCTATTCTATACTCTGCTCTGTTAGGAAATGTTATAAAACTTCTTTTGTCATCTATTTCAAACTCTATGAAATCTGTTTCATCTGTTATGACAAAAGTTGCGATAGTATTGAAGTCAACAACTCTGAAAGCAAGCGCTTCATTCTGAAGACCTAAGTTTGTTTGTAGCTTTACTGTCCCGTATTCGTTTGGGTCTGTACTTTGCAAATAGAACAACATTTTATTCTCATTAAAATATGACTATTGCTGCATATGCGTATGAAACAAATGAAGCAAGAAGAGCACATGAACTAGTAAACGAAAACTCAACTTTAACCATTGAAGGCAATGATTTAGTCATTGACGATGGAAAAACTAAAAAAGTCATTGATTTCGATACTTTTAACACTTATGACCCATTCATTACAACAAGCAAAGTTCCTATTATAAATGATGGAACGGTGCAATATATAAATTCTACAGTAGATGCCTCATTAGTGAAAGTACTGAATGTTCTCATTGAATTGTTAAAGAGCTTTCGATTTGACGACAACATTAAATGCCTAAAGAATTTAGTCATGAATGAGAAACAAATTCTCGGCGTTGCTGGTAGCAGTAATGATGTACACCTTATGACATTAGAATATTATAACGAACATAAAGATGAACTGAAAGGAGAGAAGGGTGACACCGGACCTCAAGGACCACAAGGAATACAAGGAATACAAGGAATACAAGGACCTCAAGGCGAAAACGGTTGGATGGAAAGGATGGAAAGGATGGAAAAACTGCTAAATCATGGATATGGGACCTTATAAATACTGGTTTAACAGCTGCTTCATATGGAGTTCTTCAATACCAAATCGGAAAGATATGGGGCAGTACTTGGTGAAGAAGCTTTAGATGACGTTAAAAATGCTTTGAACTTCATTTCAAATGGTTCGGATACTATTAAAACTTTATCTGGTTGGATGCAAGAAACAAGGAGTCAAATAGATACTGTAAGACGTATAGCAAACAATGCACGTACGGGATTGGATACTTTACGAGAAGCACAAAATACACTAAAGGAAGCAAATGATATTCTTGGCTCAGTATCAGACATGCATGAAGATTGGCTTAAAGGTATTGACAAATCTTTAAAAAATCACAGTCAGTCTATTGCTGACTACAAGAAAAGTATAGATTTTTTACATAGTGCTATGGACGTACATGATGGAAGCATAAGGAACTTACTTAATGCTAACAATAACTTACCAGGAACTATTAAAGCATTTATAAAGTCCTTTGTAAAACCCGGTGCTCTAACATTTAGGTCTTTGAGAGCAAGAGCATTGAAGTCAAGAGATGCAGAAACTCCAACAGAAGGAACTGAAACAACAGAAACTCCAGAAGAACCACCAAAACCAACAGCTAATGAAATATTGTTCGAATATTTTCCAAGGTACTCTGTTCTCATTGCATACATTCAAGAAATACTTAAGAAAGCAGACTTGACTTTAGGAGATGATGAAAGTTCTGTATATCTTTCGTTCCAGTTTCAAATAGCAGAACTTTTGAGACAGATATGCTTAATGTATGACAACATCTCTGATTTCACAAGATATGATGACGACCATGACCCGAACACGGTGAAGAAGAAGTTTTACAAACATCCATTAAGACAGGAAAGGTTTTAACTCAAAGTCTCATTATTGACACCAAAGATGGCGAAGTGGACGTTCTTCAAGAGCTGAAGAAAAATACTTCTTCGGGAGGTGGTGGTAGGCATGAACTTGAAATAAATGAGATAGAAGAGAAATTAGCCGAAAAAGCAGATAAAGAACATAAACACAATATCTCCGATATAAATGAACTTCAAGCTACATTAAATAGTAAAGCAGATAAAAATGAACTCGAAGCAATGAACAAAGTTTTGAAATCTCATAAACACAACATCTCCGATATAAATGAACTTCAAGCTACATTAAATAGTAAAGCGGACAAGAACCATGTTCATTATATAACTTCAGACGAACAGATTATAACGGACTACCATGGATATTTAACACGAAGTGATGAAGCGAAGACAAAAAATGTTAATGAAAGAAGATATAAATACATTCGTGCTAAAGGTTATGACATAAGCTGTACTGTACAGTATGATGTAGCTAAAGCACCAGAAGCATTTGGTTATACCGGTGAAATTTATGCCTCTACTTTCAATGTTAACGGTGTATTAGTTGAACCAAGATTTACTTTGAGAGTTAAGGCAAAAATAACGTTTGAAGATGCTATTAAAAGTAAAGCTGACAAAGTTGAACTCGAAGCAATGAACAAAGTTTTGAAATCTCATAAACACAACATCTCCGATATAAATGAACTTCAAGCTACATTAGACAGTAAAGCTGACAAGAACCATACACATAAATCCTTCACTACTGTTAGAGCAGACGACATAATATTGAACTATACCCTTGGTTCAAGTGCACCTTTAGAGAATCCAAGTACAAGCGTAAAAGATACACTAAACTCCTTAAATAACAAATGTATGAATATCGAAGGTCATGTCAGAAACTTTGAAACACATGAACTACCAGCAATGTTAGATAAAAAAGCAGACAAAACTTATGTGGATGCAGAACTAACAAAGAAATTTTCGAAACCAGATACAATGACATTTACAACAGAAATTATAAATGGTGAACCAGCAACTCCATTTGAATTTGTTAGAGGTCTTCAACCAGATACTTTTGAATTTTTCTTGGATAATTCTATTGAACTAACATTACATTATAAAAGTGGAACAAATGCAACATTTCATCCGGGAGATACATTCCAAATGGTATTTAATGACATAAGTTCTTTAGAATATGTTTATAGAGTTATGAGCATATATGATTTAATATATCCTATAGGAGCTGTTTATACGTCTATGAATCCAATAAATCCAAACACTTTATTTGGTGGTAGATGGTATGAAATAGTTGACAGTTTTCCATTCTACACTAATACGCAGTCAATGAAGATGGGAGGTTCAAAGAAAATAGGTATTGAAAACCTTCCTTCACATATGCATAGGTTCAGTGGAAGAACATCTGTGGAAGGAAACCATTCACATTCAATAACAAAAAGAGGTTATATAAATCTTGCAGCGGGTTCGGATAGACAGGGAATGAACAGATATGATATCTCAGATGACCCCAAAGATGTTAGCACAGGTATTTTCTGTGGAACTGCAGGAAATCATACACATGTTGTAGCTGGTATTACAGACCCAGCAGGTAATGGAAAAGATTATATGCCTCCTTATATAACAATGCACGCTTGGATACGAGTTGGTTAAAATCTTTAACTTTACATAAATGAGCTTGAAAGAAGTATTCGAACAACATCCATGGAGGTCATTTAAGAAGTTCAATGAAGCTGCAAAGAGTTGGGGATTTACTAACAGAGCTGAAGTGAAAAGGTTCTTTGACAAAAATGTTGTACATCAAACAAAAATAAACCCTTACGACTACTTTTTACCAATTTACTCCAACACTCCTGACGCATACCAATTTGACACTCTCATTCAAAGCAGAAAAGGAGGACATAAACCATTCCTCATCTTCATAAATGTTAACACTCGTAAAGCATATGCATATCCAATGAAAAATAAAGGAACTCGTGAAGTGTTAAGAGTTTTACAAAAGTTTGTAGCAGAACATAACCCAAGTACTTTAACATCAGACCAAGACAGTGCATACCTCAGCAATGAAATCACAGATTTTCTCATTAAGCATAACATAACTCACTACACTACTGAAGACCATAACCATAACATACTCGGCATCATAAACCGCTTCATAAGAACGCTCAGAGATTTAAATCAAGAGCGAGACTTTACCGAAGAAACAATGAAACATTTTCTCGAAGTATATAATTCCTCAACACATTCTACAACAGGACATACACCAAATTCAATGACACAACAACAAGAAGAAAAGTATATACAAAAGAAACGAAGCCAAACACAAAATATCAGAAATTCAACACAATTTACCCTCATTCCTGGAACAAAAGTTCGTGTAGTTCTTGACGACAAACCGTTGACAAAGAAACGTTTAAGGTTAAGTCGAAATTATTATATTGTAGACTCTACGCAAGGTAATGGATATCTTATAAAAGCTGCCGACGACTCTATTGCGTTTTATCCTCGACATAAATTAGTCGAAAGTAGTAATGGCAAACTTGCTGAAACCATTGACGAAGCAAAGCGAGGAGTGGTTATTGAAATACTTGGCTATAACACAAACGATGACACTTATAAAGTAAGATATGAAGGAGGCGTTGAAGATGTTATACCATCTAAGAACTTGAGAGAGTCAAAGCCAACACATCTGGGACCATTAGAGCGGGAGTACTGGAAAGACAAAAATATGCCAGAAAGAATAAGAAAATTCTTCTAAACTTTTTCGTTGGATGTAAATCAGACAAAATATAATTTAGGTGAAGAGGTGAGATCTCACCTCTTTTTTCACCTGTTTTTTCACCCTCGTGAATTTTCATGAATTTCCTTAAGACAGAAAAAAATAAAACTAACTTTATTTTTATTTATTTTTTTATTTTGTATGTAAGAACAGAAATGTCAGTCGAAGCAAAAACATTCACGAACAAATCTAATGGCGAAACATTCACAAAAGGCACTTATAACGGTATTGAAGTCTTACGTAGAGACAAGGATGGTTACATTAATGCAACAAAGATGGCAAGAGAAGCAGGAAAGTTAAACCATTTAAACAGATTTCTCAATAGTGCTAAAATGCAGGAAAATTCTTGAGTTTTGGTTGAAAGAATACGGTCGAGCCAAAAGTGGCTCAACCTCAAAACAAGCATTTTATGAGCTTACTAAGGGCGTTATAAATGAATTCAAAGGTATTTACATACATCCTGACCTCGTTCATTTTGTTGCTGAATGGTGCTCTGTAAAGTATGCATTTTATGTCAAAGATATTATGGACTCCATAGACAAGAAAGTTCATGAGAAATTAGATGAAGAAGAACTCGAAGATACAGTAGAGAATGCAAAAACAAACATTTTATGAGCTTACTAAGGCATTTATGAATGAATTCAAAGGTATTTGCATACATCCTGACCTCGTTCATTTTGTTGTTGAATTCAGCAAAAATATAATTTAGGTGAAGAGGTGAGATCTCACCTCTTTTTTCACCTGTTTTTTCACCCTCGTGAATTTTCATGAATTTCCTTAAGATAGAAAAAATAAAGTTAGTTTTATTTTTATTTATTTTTTTATTTTGTATAAAAGATATGATTTCAACAATCGGCACAACAACAATTCAAACAACAACAATTCAAACAACAACAGCACCAAACTCGTTAGTCATGAATCCTACGTCAGTGTTAGTAGAGATGAAAAACTTCATTCCTTCTTCATATACTTTCGAAACAAAAATCCAGAAGATAAAGCAAGAACTTTTAACAAGTAATTTAGACTGTAGTGCGAAAGATGAAGAAAATGAAGAATATCTTTATGAAATGCAGGACATTATTGACCATTTACCCAAATTGCCTGAAATCCAACAACAAAAACTCACTATTCCTGAATTCGACGAAATTGAAGTGAAACCAACTGACTCAGTAGAAATAAAGAAGTTCATACGTAAAGTAAATTATGAATTCCTTGGTTTTCATTGCAACCATAAGGTTATGGACAAAGATTGCGACATGGTATATAAAAACATTTCTGACATATATAAATCTGAGGAGTTTAAGACTTACGATAACTTTGTTTCATTAGTTGCAAAATGTGTTTGGGAAATAAGAGATAAAGATAGAAGAGGCAAAGTATGGAACGAACAAATAAGACCCGCTATGTTTGAGATGAAGAGAGCAATTGACGCCTTAGTTGTTTTAGCAGGTTTTATTTCAATGTATAACGCAAAAATGAACCCGCAATGTTCAAAATGTAAGGCAGCAATTAGAAAATATAACTACTCAGTCAAAGAGATAGAACGTATGAGAAACGACTATGCTGACTTAAAGAAAGAAGCAGAAAAGCCAGCAGAAGATAAAATGAACATGTTAGAATTTCTGAACAAAAACTATCCAACAGCTGAAGATTTCCTTCTATCTGACGTCAAGAAGAAGTATAAAGAAACCTTCGGTATTGTTAAAACTTTTGACATACTGACAGAAGAAATAGAAGCTACGAAATTGTATAGAATTTCAAATATACATCGTACAATTCATGTAAAACGCTTATAAAATAACTGGGGTGAAAAATTAGGTGAAAAAACAGGTGAGATCTCACCTCTTCACCTAAACATTATTTTTATTGAATTCAGCAACAAAATTCCGAGTAAAATAATTTTTAGGGCATGTGTCAAACCGTTGAGTTTTCACAAAATTTAAAAAATAACGTTTACCATGTAAAACGCTTATAAAATAACTGGGGTGAAAAATTAGGTGAGAAATTAGGTGAAATCTCACCTCTTCACCTAAACATTATTTTTATTGAATTCAGCAACAAAAATCATGAATTTTCCTTAAGATAAAAAAAATAACGCTAATTTTATTTTTATTTATTTTTTTATTTTGTATGTAAAGACAGTAATGACAACATCAGAGAACACAACAACAGTTATAATCCATGAAGCCATAAATGAAGAATACGAGTACATACAATATAACAAACAGTTACGTCTCATTCGTTCAGTCAAAGATGACATGTACCAAATGCAAAGTATTTTGACAGCATGTTATGCTCCAGATACTAAACTTCCTAAAGACTGGTTTAGGAACCAAAGCACTATTGAACTATTAAATGAAGCACAGCGAGACATACTTTTTTCTGAAAACAGTGAAGAACAGCGAGTAGGTAAAAAACCCCAGTCGCCAAAACTCTATGAAAATCGTGAAAAATTGCCAAACAGTTTGAGAGGATATTATGTTCATAGACTTCTCGTAAATGCTGTAGCAATGTGGGCTTCACCTCGTTATGCTTGGTATGTTTGTAAACTTCTTGACGAAATTCACAGACAAGAACGCGAACAGATGGAAAAGAAACTTCAAGCAAAAGATGAAGTCATTGAATCCAAAGATAAAAGCATACAGAAAAGAATACCACGTTCAGTACCAAAAGGAAAGGAAAAGAGTTATAAGTATATGATATATACTGAAGAGTTGGAGAAAGAAGAAGATAAAGATATGGTTATGTTGCATTTAGTCAGAAGAAACAACAAAAGCTTTTATGACCTTGCTAAGATTTACAAATCTGACAGAAACTGGTTCTATCGTGAAAACTTACCGATTTCAATGACACCGAATGAGCAATAAAGGAAATTGTCAAAAGTACTCTTCCTCAAACACACTATGACATCAAAGGTTGCACAATACTTACATTCAAAGAAGACTTACCATTACTGAAGGAAAAAATAACAGAATATTTCGATAACTTCAAAGAGGAAGAATAAAAAAATATATTTTTGCTTAAATGACGTCAGGGTCAATTTCTTCAACCATTTCACTTTCTTCGTCAATGTCAATAGAAGCTTCTTCAACCTTTGGTAAGAATTTCTGTATAACATCTTTGTTCGTTATTGTCTTCAGAGATGAAGGATAATATTTCACATTTGTTTCACCCTTTCTTATATTCTTTCTGTTCGGAAAGATTTAAAGCAATACCTGAAGAAGTCAATGTTAGAGTTCTTTATGACAGTATAATGAGTATCTTTGACATTCACGAAGAAACTCTTTTGTTTCAAAACTACTGCTAACTCTTGTGAAGTATAACGTTTGCGGTCAATGACGATAGCTAATGGTCTGACATACTGACCAAACTTAGATTCTTTCACAAACTTCTTGTTAAAGATAACATTGACGTTTGAAGCATTATTGAACTCATTCTTGATGGCAGTAGCGAGAGCATTGTATGAAAAGAACTTGCAATCATGCATGTGTTTCATTAAAATAAAAATATTAAATTATTTTGAAAAATAACTTAAAAAAAATCTAATCTAATTTTTCAAAAAAATATTTTTTTATTTCCTACTAAAGATGTATCGGAAGTTGTCTAAGTTAGAACACTCGGAAATAAAACAACTTCTTACAGAAGCTAACATAGATGTTGCAAAACTTACGCGACAAACAAAAAAGCACTCGCTGACATCCTCAATGACTACAATGGTGAAAAACTTATGATAGAATTCATGAGTTCATAAAGCCGCCAACGCGGCGAGGACGAAGTCCATGCAAGAGCATTTCCTTTAAATGACGTTGCTATTGACTTATATCATAGACGTTCAATACCTCATGAAGTAAGGCGTGAGATTTTGACATAAAAATGCGAACGTTGTCATACTCGTAAAGCTCTTTCTCATGATGTTCGTCAAGAGATGTTTGAACTTACGAACTCAAACTGTGAAACACGAAAGAGAGATGACACACTGAAACAACAAGAGAGAGAGATGTTTAAAAATGCTATAGAACAAGTTCGCAAAGCTAACGACTTGTCATTCGTTCCATTGACGACAAACCAAAAGAAGGTGAGAGATGGTTAAAGAAAGATGAAGAGAATAGGAAGAGAAATGTGAAGTCAGGCAATAGACTCATTGACTTTAACATCGAAGCTTTAGATGAACCAAACAGAGACTACTTACACAAACATTTCGGTAAGGTTTTCATGAGACTCTTAGAGAAGATTAAAATAAAACACCCAACAAAGATGGATGGTATGTTATAAACTGGTGGAAAGTATGAATGTTCTACGTTAAACCTCAATAATATTGGAAACATTACTACATCAGCTCTTAGGAGAACTTTATATCAGAGATAGAAGCAAATGCTGCAGGTATTGTTGAAATGCACTATGACTTCTTCTTGACAAACATAAAGAATCTTACTGAAATAAAGATGTATGATTTAACAGAATATGAAGCTTAACGATGTCAGATGTAAAGAAAAGGAAAGCCACAGAAGCGACCATATAGAGATGAAAGCACACTGACAGAAAGACAGAAAAGATTATTGAACAGACTTAAACAAACAGGAGATAAACAAGATATAGATGACTTCTGAATGAAATCCTTGGTGAAAAGAAGTTTTATAAGAAGAGAAGCGGTCAGTTCTGGAAGTATCTTTGCACATTACCTATAAATCTTGAACGCTACCAAATCTTCAATGAACTGAACAAAAGAACTGCAACACTTATGACAGAAACAATTGTTTCGTTTATGCTTGCATTCAGGCTGGAGTAAATGAAGAAACTATTGACCACATGAGAGAAGTCATTCGTGTTAGAGACTTTCCTCAAAGTAAAGTACAAGAAATTTCTGACGCAACTGGTATAGCATTTAATGTTACATTGGTTATTTCGACAACTCCAAAGATAACAGAATAATTCACTACATACCAAAAGAATGTGAAACTGCTCGAACTATTGACTTACTTCTTGTTGAACACCACTACATGCTAAATGAAAGATTACCAATGACAACATACTTCATTCGAAACTATAAAGAAATTCTCAAAGCTTGTGGTGGAATGAACATTGAGAAACAGATGAAGATTTATACAAAGAGAGGAACAAATATGTAGTTCGTTATGATAGAACAACACCGTTATGGGATGTTATGAAAACATTGTGGAGTGCAAATATTTCGAACCTATTTCTTATGGAGAACTTTTCACATATACGACTGACTTATATAAACAGAACCTTGCACCATTTAAAGATTTGACATATGCTCCAAAGTATTGTGTACAACTGAAGAAGAAAGCAGAGTCAAAAGAAGTAAATAAAAATAAGTGCAAGTCATTCCTGAGCACGTTTCTTTGCTGACTTTGAGTGCAGTACCGATGGCTTTCATAAAGCTTTAACATCTGTTTTGACAGTGAAGATGGTTCAGTGAGTGAAAGCATATGGGGTCAAAACTGCGCAACAGAATTTTTGGAGCGACTTCCTGACAAGAGTTTAATATATTTCCATAACCTCAGTTATGATATAAACTTCATCTTAAGACACATGACAGAAGTGAAAGGAACTCCCATCATTAAAGGTTCACGAACAATGCAAATAACTGGTTTATATAAAGGACGGGCAATTATTATAAAAGACTCTTACAGTGTTATAAATAAGAAGCTTAAACTATTTCCTGCTATGTTTAACTTACAAACAGGACCGAAAGAAGTATTTCCATACAACTACTACAGCAGTGTTTTGTTAGCAAATGACAACAGAACTGGTGTCATTTCTGAAGCGTGTAAGTTTATCCGGGATGCAGATACATTCATGAAAAACATAGATTCCATCAAAGGTTGCAGAATAGATGAAAACCACTTCGACTTAGAAAAATATAGCACGTTTTACTGCAAACAAGATGTAAGAATTTTAAGAGAAGGTTTTGTAAAGTTCCGCAATGACTTATTGAAAGAGTTTTTTAAACGTTTATGACTACGTTAGTATTTGTTCAATTGCTAACAAATTATTTGAGAACAGAGTGTACTTCCCGAATGGAAATTTATATGACCTCTCAAATAAACCAAGAGAATTTATTTCACGCTGTATTCAAGGTGGAAGATGTATGCTGTCAGATAACATGAAACAAAAGAGCGAAAAGAAACTCATTGCTGACTTCGACGCTGTTTCATTATATCCATCAGCAATTGCAAGATTGTATACTTTAGAAGGAATTCCAAAAGTATTGAAGGATGAGATGTTAAGCACAGAGTATCTCATGAGACATTTATTCGATGACGACCAAAAGGAACCCATTGGTGAAAAGTTTATGTCAGGCTTCTTTGTTCTCATTAAGATAACAGAGATTGGAATACATAGACACTTTCCTTTAATAGTTTGTGACCCTGAACTAAATCCAGAACTTAACGTTCCAGAAGTTCAAACACTTGCTGTTTAATGTATGTTGACCATATAACATTACAAGACCTCATAAAATATCAAGGTGTCAATGTGAAGTTTGCAAGGATACTATTACGATGGAAACAGAGATATTAGAATAAGAGATGAAGTAAAGAAGTTGTTTGAGTTAAGGTTAAAGTATAAGAAAGAAGGAAATCCTTTGCAAGAAAATATAAAGCTCATTCTGAACAGCATTTATGGCAAAACTATTCTATCTCCTATTGAGTCAAAAATAACCATAGTAGATGACAAAGATGCTATAAGATATGCCATCAGAAACTACAACCATATAGTGAAGTTCGAAGGTTTGGATGGTTCAGATAAAACTATTTTCAAGCTAACGAAAAGCATTTGCAGACACTTTAACTTCTGTCCACTTGGTGTTAATATTCTATCAATGTCAAAGAGAATAATGAATGAAGTATTCTGTACCGCTGAGGACATGGGACTTCAAATATTTTACCAGGACTGTGATAGCATGCATATTTTCAATGAAGACATCCCGCGTTTAGCTCAGGAATTTCAGAAGAGATATGGTCGCGAACTTATAGGAAAGAACCTTGGTCAATTTCATAGCGACTTTGCAGAAATCACAAAAGATAAACAAAGTTTAGCTTATAAAAGTATTTTCTGTGGAAAGAAGACCTACATAGACTTACTCACTAACGATTTAAATGAAGTTGCATTTCACTGCAGAATGAAAGGTGTGAAGCAAGATGTTATTGCTTTAACCGCTAATGAAATGTTTCCTGACTCTGTTCAGTGTTTCTATGATGAAGATAAAGGTTTAATGGTTCCGCAAGGAAAATTTGACATAGACTCTGAGTTCAGTGTTATGCAGTTATATAAAGCACTTTATGACGGTCAAGAGATTGCATTCGACTTATGTAAGTCATGTCAACCTTGCTTTGAAGAGAAGTTTAACTTCTCAATAACGACTAAAACAAGCTTTATTCGTAAGTTGAAGTTCTGAGGTCATTTATTTTTGTCAGCAATGAGGTCATTCGTGATAAAAATAAGCCGCTAGCGGCAAGGGCAAAGCCCATGTGGTCATTTACAATACTGCGATGGTAGAGTTTAAGAGTTGTACTTCAATGTAGAGACAGTCCTTATGGTCTGGAGGTAAGAACACTGGGCAGTTATGGTCATGAGTGGAGAACATGTCTATCCAAAACTCACGATTGAAGCCAGTTAATTTAAGTATTTAGGGTTAGGAAGTGGTGAAGTTCTTGTATGACCAATGAACTCATTTTCAACGCCTTTGGCTATATTAGAGAAAAGAATAGCTTGCTTTCTATCCCAAATGCCAGGTGTTACAATCTTTGAAAATTCATTTTTCCTCGGAAGCATTGCATCATAATTGAAAACATTCTTGAAATCATCACTTGGTTCAGAGATTTGAAATCTTATACGTAATGGATTTTCTTTCTCTTTAGCGACTTCATTGAATGGTGAATATATAACAAACTGACAGTCATGTGTTCCATCTTCATTTTCATTAAATTCATAATGAAAGTCTATAAGTTGTGGCTGACTACCTTCTTCTTTCAGTTGTGTAAGAACTCACGTAAAGGCTGTAAAGTTTGTACTTCAATGTTAAACTTTTTCTCGAACATTTCATTAAATGAAATCATACATTGCAACAATGTTGTATCGTCTTTAAAGTATTTGTATATGAATGTTTTGGGCGCTTAAAGACTGTTCGTCATTTTCTATCTCGACTTGAAGTATAAAGTCAACTTTCCTAAATGCACGTGTTATATACATATTTGTTATGCCAATATATTTTTCTTCATTTATGTTCACAATCCAGTCTGTTGGAAACTTAAACGTTACTCTGTTCCCCTTTATTTTGACGTCGGGGTTTTCACTACTGAACGCAACAGATAAAGGTATTTGTCTATACATTTAGTTCCGATAAAAATAAACCATTTACTCTTTCTTCACTTCAGCTTCCTTTGCTTTTGCTTCAGCTTCTTCTCTAGCTTTTTTCGCCAGTAGTCTTGGGTTCTTTTGTCTTCCAGCAGCTAATGCAGCTAGTTGTTTTTCACTAAGTTTTCTCTTTGGTCTCTCTGGCTTTTGTTCTTGTTTTTTTCCTTCAGTTCGGATAAAATTTGCTCGCGAATTTCTTTCTTCAATGCTTCAACATCTATGACCCCTTGGGTCTTGTCCGTAGGCTTGTCTGAGTCATTTGACTGCGGATAAAAATCTAACTTAAAACTTTAAACCGAGTAAAATGAGCTTGTCAAAATCAGAGCGAGAGTCTATTATATTAAATGACGCAAGAGAATACAACATCCTTCTATTACGTAAGTCAGAGTAAAGATGGTAAAATATACGTAAGAAAAGAAAGTTCCATTAGCGAATGCAGAGAGCGACAACATTAAGGTGCATGGCACCGAGGGTGAAGCCCATATAAAACCTTCTGTTCAAACTGAGCCACCAAAAGAACAAGAAGAAAAGAACCAGAGTTCTTTCAATAACGAACCAGAGCTTATTGCAAAGTTCGTGAATTTCATTGAAAAGCAAACCGAGTCAAAGAACCCTGACCCACCAGTAAAGAAGTTGAGACAAAAAGAATGTACAGTTCATTGAAAATGTCAAGAAACAACTTCCACCACGAATGCCAAGAAGAAGAGTGAGAATAATGAAGTAAATATATTTTTATCTGAAGTAAATACATGCAGAACGAACAGCTAAACGAATTTACTCCAGCAGAGCATATTCATCAGATTCGCTCATATTTCGATATCATAGACAATGCAGTTCAAATTGGTGACACTAATAGAAAATATTCTGACGCAAAGATCCATCACAACTGGAACTGCTAAAGAATAACACATGGTAACATTTAATCTCTCACCTCCTGGTGAAATATGTTGGACCTTTACAATACATTCATTACGTATAAAATGGAAGGTCAATTTATTGTAGATAAAGAAATTGTTCAGTTCCAATAAAACAAACCCACCAGGATTTTGGATTGTTCGATGACGCTTTTATGCAGTTGCTGGATATCAAATCCTTGCAAATGTCGTATCGTATATTCTCAAGACAACGCAAGAGAAGAAGCATATATAACTTCAAACTCACAAACTACCGAACAAATAAAGAAAGTAGATGTTTTCTCAAAGACTCGACATGAAGATGTATGGAGTCATTCGGGAACATGCAGAAAGGACAAATTGTTAGTGGTCCAATACAGCAGGAAATCATTTGATTTTAAGCTTCGTTTAAGAATTCTGTTAGAAATTCCTTCCATTAGAAGCTATTCGATTTATTCAGCTTTTGCAGAAACATTCAGCTTAAAGTAAAGTTCAGTAGCGACGCCTTACAATGCACATCTATATCTGTAAATGATATCATTGCTTTCAATCCAATCTTAAAGTTGCATTTGCTTCAGATTCAAATCCACCGAAATAAATTTGTTCCATGGAATGAACCATTCACTATGATAACGAAGGCAGTAGAACTAGTGGAACAGTTACTATTACAATGTACCAGCAACTATTTCGAACAAAGATGATTTTAATGAATGTTTTATTCATCCAAAGTCATTCTTTTAGACCCTAACATTTATACAGAACTTGTAGAACATTATACAAACGAGGCTTTATGTTTTCCTGTTAAAGTTATGGATTGGATTCCTATGGACGGTTCATTCTCAAAGAATACAGATAGTTCAAGTGCAACATTACAGCAGCTTATACGCCTATTAATGTTAAAAGTATTTGGGCACTATTAGAAAGAAAGACAACTATTATGTTAATTTTGAGAACCCTAAGTTTAAATATCTTCAGCTTTCCATGGAGCTTATGGAAATATGCTGCAGAAACTGAAAAATCATATGGACCTGTATTTTATGAATGGTTGCGAACGCCTGCAATACAAACAATGATATGATAGGATTTAATGAAGATGTTATGAGTCATTGGTGGATGATGGTAGTGGAACATAAATGGATAGCTATGACAACACACATTTCTTATGTGTTTTCCAACAGAAGTGGACTTTTGCTTCCAGCAAGGTCAAACATCTACTGCTCCAATAACATACAAATTGTCTGTTAAAGGACCTATTGAACTAGCAACTGAAAATGTACCAAAGCCACTTATTGGATTTATGAGGGATTGTTGCTTTGCAATACAAGTAAGACAGTCAGGCATACCAATAATAAGACTTGACGACTATAACTTAGCAACTGACGACAGTGAGGAATAAAGGATGAACGTTTATTTTTAAAGCTTATAAATGAGTTCTTCATCAAGCTCTCGTGAACCTTCACCATCTGTGAAACAAACTTTACCAAACGATTATGGAGCACCTATTGAATATTTCTTACGAGCTGCACAATGGCAAAGAGCAGTCTCACCAAGGTTAGGTGTTCCACCAGCTCCTGTCAAAAATAGCATTTGGTCAAGTCCTTATATAAAATATGGTCTCCCACTAGGTTTGCTAGTTACAGTAGGAGCAGTAATGATGTTGAAAAGAAATAAAGAAAATGTTGTAAATAATACTGAAGTAGCTGAAGTTAAACAAACTCCAACACCAACGTCAAAACCAACGCCTTCACAAACAACACCTTCAATGACTCCTGAACCTATGGAAGTACAAACTCCTGTTCAAAAGTCAACTCCTAAACCGACTCCAACATTTAAACCAGAACCTACTCCTCAAATAAATCGTAAAACTCCTGCGTTTCCTTACTGAAAAAATAACGTTATTTTTATTTAATATTAAAATTTTTATTTGATTGAAATGACAAATAAAGTCACTGAAGCAATGAAACAAAAGTTCTTGGTAGAATACATTAAATCAGGAACTATTCCAGAAGGTTTTTACATTCATACTATGAAGGATGGTAGAGTTCAGTTTAGAAAGATAAAACAACCATTAGATAAAGAAGGAATTTTGAGAAAGATTAAACTTCATGAGGACAACATTGCTAAACTTAGGAAGAAGTTAGAAGAGTTGGAGAAAGGAAGAGAGTTATAAAGCAATGAATTCAACAGGGTGAAAAAAGAGGTGAAAAAAGAGGTGAGATCTCACCACTTCACCTAAATTTATTTTTGTGCTATGTTTTCATGCACGTGCATTGTGTCGTGGGGAGTTGCCATGGGCAATGACCTGCGCACAATATATAACGTACAGAGAGGTGAGATGAGGTGGTTTATGTGATAAATACTTTACGTGGCAGAAATAGTTTAAGGTTATTAGAAATATTGCATCTGTGATGTAAAATATACGTTAGTGGTTTTGTAAAGTGCCAGATTGACATATTTTCGGTAAGATGACGCGCAGTGCCACCGTACTGAAAATATGTATACTAACTGACTTTACTGAAGAAACAATGAAACATTTTCTCGAAGTATATAATTCATCAACACATTCTACAACAGGACATACACCAAATTCAATGACACAACAACAAGAAGAAAAGTATATACAAAAGAAACGAAGCCAAACACAAAATATCAGAAATTCAACACAATTTACCCTCATTCCTGGTACAAAAGTTCGTGTAGTTCTTGACGACAAACCGTTGACAAAAAAACGTTTAAGGTTAAGTAGAAACTATTATATAGTAGATTCAACGCAAGGTAATGGATATCTTATAAAAGCTGCCGACGATTCGATTGCGTTTTACCCTCGTCATAAGTTAGTCGAAAGTAGTAATGGCAAACTTGCTGAAACCATTGACGAAGCAAAGCGAGGAGTGGTTATTGAAATACTTGGATATAACACAAACGATGACACTTATAAAGTAAGATATGAAGGAGGCGTTGAAGATGTTATACCATCTAAGAACTTGAGAGAGTCAAAGCCAACTCATCTGGGACCATTAGAGCGGGAGTACTGGAAAGATAAAAACATACCAGAAAGAATAAGAAAATTCTTCTAAACTTTTTCATTAGATGTAAATCAAACATGAAGGGTCTAACACCAATGGGACCTAAATACATGAAAATTCAATACTTCTCAATTTCCTTGCAGAAAAGGAAAAAACCTGAACGAGGTCGGGAGTCGAACCGAAATCCTTGACACCTATAACAAGGGAGCCCATACCACTGAGCTATGAGCCGCTTACATTTATTGCAATAAAATATGGTATATGAAACTTCAAAGCTTTGCCTTATGTCTCAATACATATTCATACGAGTTTATAAGACATTCATTAAACTTCTTTTCCATGTCATCTATATCTACATGGTTCAAATGACTATTTTCTTCAATTTTTCCATTTTTGACCCTCACCTGTATTAATTTCACTAAATTATGATAGTGGTCATATTCTTTCAGTATATAAGTCAAGACCATAATGGTTGTAGCTTCAAACTTAACATCAAACGTACTTTTAACACAGTGTTCGGAGTCAGTTAACAACTCTATTAAATAATATTCGAAGTCAGTTAGTAATCTTTTCCCATACATTTCATACGGGATAAAAAATTATGTTGTGTAAAAATAAGGTTTTCCTTATGACAGAAAAATAACGCTAATTTTTTTCTAACAAATTTTTTTATCTTGTATGTAAGAACAGTAATGTTAAATGTTGAGTTTGAAACAGTTAGAAAGATAGACAATGACACCAAAGTGGTTAGAATAGGTGATTTAAAGGTAAGATACTCAAAGAAATACAACAAATATTCTTTGTCAGACATTATATCTCCATCTGGAAAGAAAACAAACGACTGGGTTAGAAATGCTTCAACTCAGAAAATTTTGACAAGAAATCCTGAGCTTATGATATCAGTAGCATTTCATGGAACAAGAGCATATCTTATAGACAAAAGTCTTATACCAATAGTTTTGTTATGGTTAGACCCAGTTGTTGGATATAACTTCATAACATATGGTTCATTCGACTCAGAACGTTGCAGTGAAGGCTTACTTTATATCGTTCAGAAACCGAAGGACTTCAACACAAAAAGATATAAGATAGGAAGGACATATAATATAACTCAAAGATATGACAGTACAGTCAATAAAGTCAAGGTTGTGTTCGTTAATGATATGAGAGCTGCTGAAACAGAACTGCTTGAAGTTTTTGAGAAAATGTATGGTGCTCCCACGAAAGGTAAAGAAACTTTCGAAGTAGATGAGATAGATAGTGCTATAAAATTATTTGACGAAGTTGCTGAAAAATACATGTAAAGCGTTTATTTTTGGTCTTTTGTGAAAGTCAGAAAATAACGCTAATTTTTTTCTAACAAAATTTTTTATCTTGTATGTAAGAACAGCAATGTCAACATCAGTTATAGTTCATGAAGCCATTAATGAAGAATATGAATACATACAGTATAACAAACAATTGAGACTCATTCGTTCAGTCAAAGATGACATGTACCAAATGCAAAGTATTTTGACAGCATGTTTTGCTCCAGAGAATAAAACACCAAATGAATGGTTTGAATTAAATAGCACTCATGAACTTCTCAGCGAGTTTGAACATGTAGAACTTAAAAAGATGTACCAAGACAGACAAAACTTACCATCTCATCTGAAAGGAATATATGTTCATAAGTTCCTTGTTAGTTCAATAGCAATGTGGGCTTCGCCTCGTTATGCAATCTACATACTTATGCTACTTGACGAACTTTGTACAAAGCAGAGAGAAGAAATGATGAAAGAAGACAAAAGCATACAGAAAAGAATACCACGCTCAGTACCAAAAGGAAAGGAAAAGAGCTATAAGTATATGATATATACTGAAGAGATGGAGACTGAAGAAGATAAAGATATGGTTATGTTGCATTTAGTGAGAAGGAATAACAAGAGCTTTTATGACTTAGCTAAGATATATAAATCTGACAGGAATTGGTTCTATCGTGAAAACATACCGATTTCAATGACACCTAACGAAGATGTTAACCAGATAGTTCAAGACACACTCCCTCAAACACATTATGACATTAGAGGTTGCACAATACTTACATTCAAAGAAGACTTACCTCTACTGAAGGAAAAAATAACACAGTACTTTGACAACTTCAAAGAACAAGAATGAACAAAATCTAAGCTAAACTTTTTATTAGAAATTTTTTTATCTCATATGAAATATGCTTGGTCAAACAAGAACAAAAGCACAAATGTTTCAAGACTTATTCAATAGGTTTGAAGCAATGAAACAAATAGATAATACACTTCAAACATTGAGTTTTTCTTACACTTCAAATATATTCACAGTTATTGACAGAAGTATTGGTGAATTTTTAACAGCTGAAATAACTTGCAATGGTCATTCTTTCTTTACTGCTTTCTATGATAATGGTAATAGTTATTCAGTGGTTGAAGAAGGGAGTTTAGATGATAGAATTAAGTATGTAATTGATGAATTTCATCTTGTCAGAATTTTTGGAAGAAGTTGGTTTGAAAAAGAGAAACAATGAACAAAAATATATTTTTGCTTAAATGACGTCAGGGTCAATTTCTTCAACCATTTCACTTCCTTCGTCAATGTCAATAGAAGCTTCTTCAACCTTTGGTAAGAACTTTTGTATAACATCTTTGTTCGTTATTGTCTTCAGAGATGAAGGATAATATTTCACAACTGTTTCACCTTTCTTATATTCTTTCTGTTTGGAAAGATTCATAGCAATACTGAAGAAGTCAACGTTAGAGTTCTTTATGACAGTATAATGAGTATCTTTGACATTCACGAAGAAACTCTTTTGTTTCAAAACTACTGCTAACTCTTGTGAAGTATAACGTTTGCGGTCAATGACGATAGCTAATGGTCTGACATACTGACCGAACTTAGATTCTTTCACAAACTTCTTGTTAAAGATAACATTGACGTTTGAAGCACCATTGAACTCATTCTTGATGGCAGTAGCGAGAGCATTGTATGAAAAGAACTTGCAATCTTGCATGTGTTTCATTATAATAAAAAGTTCGAAATATTTTAAAACTAGCCTTAAAAAATCTAAGCTAATTTTTTTCTAAGAAATTTTTTTATTTCCTACTAAAGATGTATCGGAAGTTGTCTAAGTTAGAACACTCGGAAATAAAACAACTTCTTACAGAAGCTAACATAGATGTTGCAAAACATTACGCGACAAACAAAAAAGCACTCGCTGACATCCTCAATGACTACAATGGTGCTATAAGTTATGATAGAATTCATGAGTTCATAAATGCAAGAGCATTTCCTTTAAATGACGTTGCTATTGATTTATATCATAGACGTTCAGTACCTCATGAAGTAAGAAGAGAAATGTTTGACATAACAAATGCGAACGTTGGTCATACTCGTAAAGCTCTTTCTCATGATGTTCGTCAAGAGATGTTTGAACTTACGAACTCAAACGTTGGTGAAACAAGAAGAGCTGTACCTCATGAAGTAAGAAGAGAAATGTATGACATAACAAATGCAAACGTTGGTGAAACACGAAAGAGAGATGACACACTGAAACAACAGAGAAGAGAGATGTTTAAAAGTGCTATTGAACAAGTTCGCAAAGCTAATGATGTCATTCGTTCCATTGACGACAAACCAAAAGAAGGTGAGAGATGGTTAAAGAAAGATGAAGAGAATAGGAAGAGGAATGTGAAGACAGGCAATAGACTCATTGACTTTAACATCGAAGCTTTAGATGAACCAAACAGAGACTACTTACACAAACATTTCGGTAAGGTTTTCATGAGACTCTTAGAGAAGATTAAAATAAACACCCAACAAAGATGGATGGTATGTTATAAACTTGGTGGAAAGTATGAATGTTCTACGTTAAACCTCAATAATATTGGAACATTACTACATCAGCTCTTGAAGGAGAACTTTATATCAGAGATAGAAGCAAATGCTGCAGGTATTGTTGAAATGCACTATGACTTCTTCTTGACAAACATAAAGAATCTTACCGAAATAAAGATGTATGATTTAACAGAATATGAAGGCTTAACGATGTCAGATGTAAAGAAAGGCAAACCAAAAAAGAGACCATATAGAGATGAAAGCACACTGACAAATGACCAGAAACCCATTTTGGAAGCTCTTAAGCAAACAGGAAACCCAGCACTTATAGAAAGCTTTTGGAAAGATAATGGTGAAAAGAAGTTTTATAAGAAGAGAAGCGGTCAGTTCTGGAAGTATCTTTGCACATTACCTATAAATCTTGAGCGCTACCAAATTTTCAATGAATTGAACAAAAGAACTGCAGCACTTATGACAGAAGACAATTGTTTCGTTTATGCTTGCATTCAGGCTGGAGTAGATGGAGAGACTATTGACCACATGAGAGAAGTCATTCGTGTTAGAGACTTTCCTCAAAGTAAAGTACAAGAAATTTCTGACGCAACAGGTATAGCATTTAATGTTACCATTGGTTATTTCAATGACTCAAGACATAATGAAATAAAGAGATACATACCAAAAGAATGTGAAACTGTTCGAACTATTGACTTACTTCTTGTTGAAGACCACTACATGCTAAATGAAAGATTACCAATGACAACATATTTCATTCGCAACTATATAGAAATCTTGAAGGAGTGTGGTGGAATGAACATTGAGAAACAAATGAAGATTTATACAAAGAGAGAAGATAAATATGTAGTTCGTTATGATAGAACAACACCGTTATGGGATGTTATGAAAACATTGTGGGAGTGCAAATATTTCGAACCTATTTCTTATGGAGAACTTTTCACATATACTACTGACTTATATAAACAGAACCTTGCACCATTTAAAGACTTGTCATATGCTCCAAAGTATTGTGTACAATTGAAGAAGAAAGCCGAGTCAAAAGAAGTAAATAAAGCTAAATGTAAGTTCATTCCTGAGCACGTTTTCTTTGCTGACTTTGAGTGCAGTACCGATGGCTTTCATAAAGCTTTTAACATATGTTACGACAGTGAAGATGGTTCTGTGAGTGAAAGCATTTGGGGTCAGAACTGTGCAACAGAATTTTTGGAACGACTTCCTGACAAGAGTTTAATATATTTCCATAACCTCAGTTATGATATAAACTTCATCTTAAGACACATGACAGAAGTGAAAGGAACTCCCATCATTAAAGGTTCACGAACAATGCAAATAACTGGTTTATATAAAGGACGGGCAATTATTATAAAAGACTCTTACAGTGTTATAAATAAGAAGCTTAAACTATTTCCTGCTATGTTTAACTTACAAACAGGACCGAAAGAAGTATTTCCATACAACTACTACAGCAGTACTTTGTTAACAAATGACAACAGAACTGGTGTCATTTCTGAAGCATGTAAGTTTGTAAAAGATATTGATACATTCATGAAAAACATAGATTCCATCAAAGGTTGCAGAATAGATGAGAACCACTTCGACTTAGAAAAGTATAGTACATTCTATTGCAAACAAGATGTAAGAATTTTAAGAGAAGGTTTTGTTAAGTTCCGCAATGACATATTGAAAGAATTTGATTTAAACGTTTATGACTACGTTAGTATTTGTTCAATTGCTAACAAATTATTTGAGAACAGAGTGTACTTCCCGAATGGAAATTTATATGACCTCTCAAATAAACCAAGAGAATTTATTTCACGCTGTATTCAAGGTGGAAGATGTATGCTGTCAGATAACATGAAACAAAAGAGCGAAAAGAAACTCATTGCTGATTTCGACGCTGTTTCATTATATCCATCAGCTATAGCAAGACTTTATACTTTAGAAGGTATTCCAAAGGTTATGAAGAAAGAAATGTTAAGCACAGAGTATCTCATGAGACATTTATTCAATGACGACCAAAAGGAACCCATTGGTGAAAAGTTTATGTCAGGCTTCTTTGTTCTCATTAAGATAACAGAGATTGGAATACATAGACACTTTCCTTTAATAGTTTGTGACCCTGAACTAAATCCAGAACTTAACGTTCCCAGAAGTTCAAACACTTGCTGTTTAATGTATGTTGACCATATAACATTACAAGACCTCATAAAATATCAAGGTGTCAAATGTGAAGTGTTGCAAGGATACTATTACGATGGAAACAGAGATATTAGAATAAGAGATGAAGTAAAGAAGTTGTTTGAGTTAAGGTTAATGTATAAGAAAGAAGGAAATCCTTTGCAAGAAAATATAAAGCTCATTCTGAACAGTATTTATGGCAAAACTATTCTATCTCCTATTGAGTCAAAAATAACCATAGTAAATGACAAAGATGCTATAAGATATGCCATCAGAAACTACAACCATATAGTGAAGTTCGAAGGTTTGGATGGTTCAGATAAAACTATTTTCAAGCTAACGAAAAGCATTTGCAGACACTTTAACTTCTGTCCACTTGGTGTTAACATTCTGTCTATGTCGAAGAGAATAATGTGTGAAGTATTCTGTACTGCTGAGGACTTAGGAATGGACATCTTTTATAGCGATACGGACAGTATGCATCTCTACAATGAAGATATCCCTCGTTTAGCTGAAGAGTTTGAGAAAGGTTATGGAAGAGTTCTCATTGGTAAAAACCTTGGTCAATTTCATAGCGACTTTGCAGAAATCACACCTGGAAAACAAAGTTTAGCATACAAGTCAATATTTTGTGGAAAGAAGACTTACAAAGACTTACTCACGAATGATTTAAATGAAGTTGCATTTCACTGCAGAATGAAAGGCGTGAAGCAAGATGTTATTGCTTTAACCGCTAATGAAATGTTTCCTGACTCTGTTCAGTGTTTCTATGATGAAGATAAAGGTTTAATGGTTCCGCAAGGAACATATGACAAAGACTCTGAGTTCAGTTTAATGAAACTTTACAAAGCACTTTATGACGGTCAAGAGATTGGATTTGACTTATGTAAGTCATGTCAACCTTGCTTTGAAGAGAAGTTTAACTTCTCAATAACGACTAAAACAAGCTTTATTCGTAAGTTGAAGTTCTGAGGTCATTTATTTTTGTCAGCAATGAGTTCATTCGTGATAAAAATAAGCCGCTAGCGGCAAGGGCGAAGCCCATGTGGTCATTTACAATACTGCGATGGTAGAGTTTAAGAGTTGTACTTCAATGTAGAGACAGTCCTTATGGTCTGGAGGTAAGAACACTGGGCAGTTATGGTCATGAGTGGAGAACATGTCTATCCAAAACTCACGATTGAAGCCAGTTAATTTATAGTATGACCAATGAACTCATTTTCAACTCCCTTACTTAAGTTTGAATATAATATAGCTTGCTTTCTATCCCAAATGCCTGGAAATCTAATTTCGGAAAAATCATTTTTCCTCGGAAGCATTGCATCATAATTGAAAACATTCTTGAAATCATCACTTGGTTCAGAGATTTGAAATCTTATACGTAATGGATTTTCTTTCTTTTTAGCGACTTCATTGAATGGTGAGAATACAATGAATTGACAGTCATGTGTTCCATCTTCATTTGGTACAAACTCGTAATGAAAAGCTATTAATCTTTCTACAATTCCTTCTTCTTTCAGTTGTGCAAGAAACTCACGTAAAGGCTGTAAAGTTTGTACTTCAATGTTAAACTTCTTTTGAAAATTTTCGTAAAATGTAATTATACAGTCTTCTAACGTTGTATCGTCTTTAAAGTATTTGTATATGTGAATGTTTTGGGCGCTTAAAGACTGTTCGTCATTTTCTATCTCGACTTGAAGTATAAAGTCAACCTTTCTGAAAGCACGTGTTATATACATAGATGTTATGCCAATGTACTTCTCTTCATTTATGTTCACAATCCAGTCTGTTGGAAACTTAAACGTTACTCTGTTCCCCTTTATTTTGACGTCAGGGTTTTCACTACTGAACGCAACAGATAAAGGTATTTGTCTATACATTTAATTCGGATAAAAATAAACCATTTACTCTTTCTTTGCTTCAGCTTCTTTAGCTTTTGCTTCAGCTTCTTCTCTAGCTTTCTTCGCCAGCAAACGTGGGTTCTTTTGTCTTCCAGCAGCTAATGCAGCAAGTTGTTTTTCACTAAGTTTTCTCTTTGGTCTCTCTGGCTTTTGTTCTTGTTTTTGTTCCTTCAGTTCGGATAAAATTTGCTCACGAATTTCTTTCTTCAATGCTTCAACATCTATGACCCCTTGGGTCTTGTCCGTAGGGCTTGTCTGAGTCATTTGACTGCAGATAAAAAACAAAATTAAAACTTTAACCGATGTAAAATGAGCTTGTCAAAATCAGAGCGAGAGTCTATTATATTAAATGACGCAAGAGGAATACAACATCCTTTCTATTACGTAAGTCAGAGTAAAGATGGTAAAATATACGTAAGAAAAAGAAAGGTTCCATTAGCAAATGCAGAAAGCGACAACATTAAGGTGTATGGCAAGGGTGAAGTCCGTGTTAAGCCTTCTGTTCAAACTGAGCCACCAAAAGAACAAGAAGAAAAGAAGCCAGATGTTCTTTCAATAACGAACCAAGAGCTTATTGCAAAGTTCGTGAATTTCATTGAAAAACAAACCGAGTCAAAGAACCCTGACCCGCCAGTGAAAGAAGTTGAGACAAAAGAGAATGTACAGTTCATTGAAAATGTCAAGAAACAACTTCCACCACGAATGCCAAGAAGAAGAGTGAGAATAATGAAGTAAATAGATATTTTTATCTGAAGTAAATACATGCAGAACGAACAGTTAAACGAATTTACTCCAGCAGAGCATATTCATCAGATTCGCTCATATTTCGAGATCATAGACAATGCAGTTCAAATTGGTGACACTAATAGAAAATATTCTGACGCAAAGATTCCATCACAACCTGGAACTGCTAAAGATAACACATGGGTAACATTCAATCTCTCACCTCCTGGTGAAAATATGTTGGACCTTTACAATACATTCATTACGTATAAAATGGAAGGTCAATTTATTGTAGATAAAGAAATTGGTTCAGGTTCCAATAAAACAAACCCACCAGGATTTTGGATTGGTTTCGATGACGCTTTCTATGCAGTTGCTGGATATCAAATCCTTGCAAATGGTCGTATCGTATATTCTCAAGACAACGCAAGAGAGAAGCATATATAACTTCAAACTCACAAACTACCGAACAAATAAAGAAAGTAGATTTTCTCAAAGACTCAACATGAAGATGTATGGAGTCATTCGGGAACATGCAGAACAGGACAAATTGTTAGTGGTCCAATTACAGCAGGAAAATCATTTGATTTAAGCTTCGTTTAAGAATTCCTGTTAGAAGATTCCTTCCATTAGAAGCTATTCGATTTATTCCAGCTTTGCAGGAAACATTCAGCTTAAAATAAAGTTCAGTAGCGACGCCTTACAATGCACATCTATATCTGTAAATGATATCATTGCTTTCAATCCAACTCTTTAAAGTTGCATTTGCTTCAGATTCAAATCCACCGACAAATAAATTTGTTCCATGGAATGAAACCATTCACTATGATAACGAAGGCAGTAGAAGCTAGTGGAACAGTTACTATTACAACTGTAACCCAGCAACTATTTCGAACAAAGATGGATTTTAATGAATGTTTCATTCATCCAAAGTCATTCTCTTTAGACCCTAACATTTATACAGAACTTGTAGAACATTATACAAGCGAGGCTTTATGTTTTCCTGTTAAAGTTATGGATTGGATTCCTATGGACGGTTCATTCTCAAGAATACAGATAGTTCAAGTGCAACATTTACAGCAGCTTATACGCCTATTAATGTTAAAAGATATTTGGGCACTATTTAGAAAGAAAAGACAACTATTATGTTAATTTTGAGAACCCTAAGTTTAAATATCTTCAGCTTTCCATGGGAGCTTATGGAAATATGCCTGCAGAAACTGAAAAATCATATGGACCTGTATTTTATGAAATGGTTGCGAACGCCTGCAATACAAACAATGATATGATAGGATTTAATGAAGATGTTATGAGGTCATTGGTGGATGATGGTAGTGTGGAACATAAATGGGATAGCTATGACAACACACATTTCTTATGTGGTTTTCCAACAGAAGTGGACTTTTGCTTCCAGCAAGGTCAAACATCTACTGCTCCAATAACATACAAATTGTCTGTTAAAGACCTATTGAACTAGCAACTGAAAATGTACCAAAGCCACTTATTGGATTTATGAGGGATTGTTGCTTTGCCATTCAGGTGCGTGCTAATGGAATCCCAATAATAAGATTAGATGACTATAACTTAGCTACGGACGACGGTGAGGAATAAAGGATGAACGTTTATTTTTAAAGCTTATAAATGAGTTCTTCATCAAACTCTCGTGAACCTTCACCATCTATGAAACAAACTTTACCAAACGATTATGGAGCACCTATTGAATATTTCTTACGAGCTGCACAATGGCAAAGAGCAGTCTCACCAAGGTTAGGTGTTCCACCAGCTCCTGTCAAAAATAGCATTTGGTCACGTCCTTATATAAGATATGGTCTCCCACTAGGTTTGCTAGCTACAGCAGGAGCAGTTATGATGTTGAAAAGAAATAAAGCAAATGTTGTAAATAATACTGAAGTAGCTGAAGTTAAACAAACTCCAACACCTTCGCCAAAACCAACGCCTTCACAAGCAAAACCTTCAATGACTCCTGAACCTATGGAAGTACAAACTCCTGTTCAAAAGTCAACTCCTAAACCGACTCCAACATTTAAACCAGAACCTACTCCTCAAATAAATCGTAAAACTCCTGCGTTTCCTTACTGAAAAAATAACGTTATTTTTTATTTAATATTAAAATTTTTATTTGATTGAAATGACAAATAAAGTCACTGAAGCAATGAAACAAAAATTTTTGGTAGAATACATTAAATCAGGAACTATTCCAGAAGGTTTTTACGTTCATACTATGAAGGATGGTAGAGTTCAGTTTAGAAAGAGAAAGCAACCATTAGATAGAGAAGGTATATTAAGGAAGATTAAACTTCATGAGGACAACATTGCTGAACTTAAGAAGAAGTTAGAAGAGTTGGAGAAAGGAAGAGAGTTATAAAGCAATGAATTCAACAGGGTGAAAAAAGAGGTGAGATCTCACCACTTCACCTAAATTTATTTTTGTGCTATGTTTTCATACGTGTGAGGGTGGTGATATCATTAATTTTTAAGTTTATTTTTTATTTTATTTTTATTTTATTTTTTTATAAATGACAGAACAAAAGCAACTCATACAAATCGAAAAATATAACAAACATACATTTAAACATTTATTCTTCCTTCCTGAGTATAACATGTTCTTTACACTTCATCCTAGACCAGTTGACTATACATTGACTGTGTATAAAGATTGTCATGGTAGTTTTATAAAAACTTATGATGATGAAGGTAAGTTAACAAGACTATGCATTTCAAAACTTGAGAAACTTTATGACTTCAAGTATGACTACAATAGAGTTAACATTGACGATGAAGAATATAGAAGAAAATTTATGAGAACGTTTATTTTTTCATTAGTGAGTTCGTTAGTGAAAATGTTAGTGAGGTGAAGTGGTTGGCGGCTTTGTAAATATTTAAGGTTAAGTTGGTGTTTGTGTTGTAAAATATACGTTAACGGTTTCGTAAAGTGTCAAATTCACATATAATGGGTAAGTAGGTGCGCAGTGCCACAGTACCCAACTAACCCATACTAACTAAGGGAATAGTTTCATTATGCTTTCAATGACAGCCTTATAATATAATCATAGTTTTCGCTCAATATGCAGCATTTTTTTTTCGAAATCTATGGTCAATATCCTAAATACTGATTGCTTTGCATTCATATCTCTTACATTTTCTATACCCACATCACTATTCATTGCTATTCCTATCTTTTTCATTTTTGTTTGTTTCTCATAATTTCTCAAAAAACATGATAACTTGATATTTGTAAATATCATACTTTATAACGTAAATAAGAACTTGACAAAAAAAAAAAAAAAAAAAAAAAAAAAAAAAAAAAAAAAAAAAAAAAAAAAAAAAAAAAAAAAAAAAAAAAGGTAGTGGGGCTTCCAGGCACTTCGTGCCTTCTAGCCCTGAAGATGTTTAGTATAATTGAAGTTTTTATTCGGAAAATTGTTAGTCTTCTGGGTCGAAAACATTATATAATGTGTCGCTTTTCACAAATTATATATGTTTTCATGTTTTGTCAAGACTTCTTCGTAAATGTTTTGTCAAGACTTCTTCTTCGTAAATGTTTTGTCAAGACTTCTTCTTCGTAAATGTTTTGTCAAGACTTCTTCGTAAATGTTTTGTCAAGACTTCTTCGTAAATGTTTTGTCAAGACTTCTTCTTCGTAAATGTTTGTCAAGACTTCTTCGTAAATGTTTTGTCAAGACTTCTTCGTAAATGTTTTGTCAAGACTTCTTCTTCGTAAATGTTTTGTCAAGACTTCTTCGTAAAATCAGACAAAAATATATTTTAGGTGAAGAGGTGAGATTTCACCTGTTTTTTCACCTAATTTTTCACCCTCTTGAATTTTCATGAAATTTACACCAAAAATATATTTTAGGTGAAGAGGTGAGATTTCACCTGTTTTTTCACCTAATTTTTCACCCTCTTGAATTTTCATGAAATTTACACCAAAAATAATGTTTAGGGTAGAAGGGTAGATTTCACCTGTTTTCTACCCTCTTTTCTACCCTCTTGAATTTTCATGAAATTTACACCAAAAATATACTACTAGGGTCATTTACGAAGAAATCTCAACAAAGTCTTTACGATGAAATCTTGACAAAGTCTTTACGAAGAAGTCTTAACAAAGTCTTTACGAAGAAATTCATGAAAATTCAAGAGGTGAGAAATGAGGTGAAAAAAGAGGTGAAATCTCACCTCTTCACCTAAAATATATTTTTGGTCATTTACGAAGAAGTCTTAACAAAGTCTTTACGAAGAAATCTCAACAAAGTCTTTACGAAGAAATCTCAACAAAGTCTTTACGAAGAAGTCTTGACAAAACATCTGTCACTTTTCAGGAAAAAACATTTTTATTATTATATATAAATGAATTTTACAAAACCACCGCTACCCTTCTTTGGAAATAAGAGTAGATGTAAAGATATTCTATTGAGAGAACTTAAGAAACTACCGAATGGTCTAACATTTGTAGACTTGTTCGGTGGAAGTTTCTATATATCTCATTTGTGCCATATAATATTCCCAGACTCAAAGATTATATGCAATGACTTCGACAACTATATGGACCGTCTCAAACATATACCAGACACAAACAAAATATTGAAAGAGTTAAAAGAAAAGATACCTATAGGTAAGATGGAACGTATACCATTAGATAAGAAAAATACTGTCAGAGAGGTTTTGAAAAAGGCAGAGTATATTGACTGGGATAGTATATCTGCTAGACTATTATATAGTGGTGCTATAAGAGTTCATGACATTGAAACACTTATGTCAAAAGTTTTATATCTTAACTATACAAATGTTTTCAAAGAGGACATAGAAAAATATACTGAGGGTATAGAGTTTGTGAGATGTCATTGGACAGAGTTGTATGAAAAATATAAAGACAAGGAAAATGTTTTCTTTATAGTGGACCCGCCGTTCTATAACACATGGGATTTTCAATACCAAGTAGACTGGACTTTGAGAGACTCTTTAGAAACTTTAGACGTTTTACATAACCATCCATGCTTTTACTTTACATCCGATAAAAGTGGTTTGGAAAGTGTCATGAGATGGTTAGAGGACATACATGACTATGAGTTTAGATACGATAAGATAGAATATGAGAGAGGTCCTATAAACCGGAGAAAGTGTCACAACAAAGAAATTTTATTGGTAAGTAAATGTGGTTTGAAATAGGACTACTTGTTTTAGGTTTTTTCCATTGTGTCATTTACTTATTTGACGTGGCAGAAAGATATAGAGAATATGAAGATGAACCAATGCCTGCAAATGTTCAGTATATGTACTCGTAAGAGATATTTTTATCTAATATTAAATGGACGCACAGAACTTAGCGAATGCACAGCAACCTGGACAACAAACCCAGAGAATATTCCAAATGAAGTTAGAATACAAACTGCAATGGCAAACTATGGTCAAGTGCCAACAGATGTACAAATGCAAACTGCCATGTCAAATGACGCTGCGTTAGGTTTGCCACCATGGTATGCAAATATGAGATGGAAAGAGTTTTATACAAACCCTGAAGTGGGATATAAACAAACTTTATGCAGATGACGCGAACACAGGAGTTGACCCAGAATATGTTTTCTACCAGAGGAGAAACAGAATGTATGAGCTCCAGTTAAAGAATGCTATGGAACTCAACAGGAAACGTAAGAGACTAGGCGGACATTAGATTTTTACACGTAGTAAAATGGGTTTCTTCAGTAAGATAGGAAACTTCTTTCGAAATGTTGGAAGAGGTATATGGAATGGAATAAAATCTGTCGGAAGAGGAATTTGGAACGGAGTCAAAAATATTGGTAAAAGGGTAGGTCAGTTTGTTGGTATTATACCTAAAGACCCTGAACCAGAAGAACAAGCTCCTGTTATACAACAGCCTGAACCTGCACCACAGTCTAGTTGGCAACCAAATCCAACACCTCAGCCGTATTAAAAAATTATATTTTTACCGTTCGATAGTAGTTGTATATGAAACTAAGTTCTAAGTAAAACGCATGGTATAATGGAATTATTCTTTTTCTTCCATCTGTAGTAAACCATACTTGAAAGTCTGAAATACTTCCACTTGGTGGTTCGTATAACTTTGTAGGTTTTTCGTAAAAGTCATTTGCCAAGCATAAGAAAGAGTTTTGGGCGCCAGAAAATGAAGCATGAACAATAATAGCAGCTGGGTCGAAAACATCTTTAAATAATATGGTTCATCTCTTGCATATCGACTGTAAATATTTGCTAAAGGAAGTTTGACTTTCTGATTTAACATTCTTTGCAAATAATACCATGACATTGCAGTGAATTCTGTATATATTTGTTCGTCTTTCTTTGGATTGTCTTCGTAGATTTGAAATGACACTTGTGAATTTTGTTTGTCATATACAATTCTCACATAAAGTGTGCTCTCGGTATTTGCATATTCATCAGCATATTTTGCATAACATGAATTTATTTTATCTTCTATATTTTTAACGCAGTCTGTAGAGAAGATGAAAGGTCAACTTGTATTAGCTCAATTTCTTCCCACATTTTTCGTTTCCCTTCAGATATATAATCTATATGAAACCTTACAATAAATGGAAAACTTTTATCTTCTACAGACACAAATTTTATTCTTCGAAAGCCAACAGCTTTTGTGACGGATGGGTCTCTTAGCCATCTTAATGGGTAGTCAAAACGATAGCCTTCATGCTTTACGGTCTCTGTCTCAAACTTTTGACCGACATTCGTAAAAAGTTCATCTAATGGTTTAGTTGTAGCAACTCTTGAATTTTCTTTTTCTATTGAAAGCATATTTTATCTAGAATAAAAATGTCGAAAGAAACAGCGTCTATGAGAGAAATACAACACAACCGACAACTCATTTTGCAAGCTCTAAATAAGAACACAACAAACTTTTCAAACTATTCTAAGATATCTGAGTCATTGAAAGAAGGAAACTTAAAACTGACATTAAACCCAATGACAGACGAGTTTCTATTTCAAGACAGTAAGAACCATACTGTTTGTATAAATCCAACAAAAGGAACTTTAAACGAGAAACCTATAGATGAACTTCTTTTGAAAGCAGATGTTGACAACAAAGCTGACAAAGAGTATGTCATTGAAAAAGTTCAAGAAGAACATGACAGAGCAGATGCAACATATGCAACAAAAGAGGATGTTGAAAAGAAAGCTGACAAAGAGTATGTTGACGATGAGTTAGCATATCTGGCTAGTGGGTTAGTGAAGAAGGCAGATAAGGAATATGTGGATGAAAAAGACAATGAAATTATAAAAAGGGTTGAATGGTACCATGAACGGACATCGAAGATTTTAGAAGGTAAAGCCAATACAGGGTGGGTTTCAGGATGTTTAGACCTTAAAGCCGACAAAGAAACTGTAGATATGTTGACACAAACGGTTTCAAGTCATACCAGAGGTTTAATGGAAGATGGACAACAGTTGAAAGAGCTTGAGAAAGGTGTTACAGAGTTAAGGAATACAAAAGCAGACTCGACATGGATAAAAGGATATGTAGATGCAACAAAAGAACGTATTTTCGCATGGACAGAAGGAACATACCCACAAAAATATCATAGACATAGCATCTCTGACGTAAATGAACTTGAAGAAAAGTTATATAAAAAAGCAGACAAAACAGAGCTTCAAACATTAAAGACAGAAATACTTCAAACACTATATCCTATAGGTTCTATTTACACGTCAATGAACTCTACCAGACCAGAAGTAGTACTTGGTCTCGGAACTTGGACTCAAATAGTCGACAGGTTTTTGTATTGTGCAAACTCTTCAAAGGAAACAGGTGGAAGTAAAACGATTTCAGGTGAAAACCTACCTGCACACAGTCACTACATAAATTTAACTACAGCTGAAGCAGGTTTGCATAGTCATAGATTTTGGGATTGGTCAGGAATGACAAAAGGTAAAGGATATGATGTTAAAGAGGACGTTAAGTTTGCTATAAATTGTTACTGGAGTAACACTGAGGTAGGAGGAAGCCATACACATCGCGTTTCAGGGTATACGCAAACAACGGGACAAAGTAAAGACTACATGCCACCTTACATGACAGTTTACGCATGGTATAGAATTGCTTAGTCGTCATTTTTCAACTTCTTTAGCATATTCGTCAGGAGTTGTCTTATATTTGTTAGGAACTGTCTTTGAAAGTATACCACCTTGAACCTTAACAAGTTTGAAACGAGGTCTGACAATAGTAGTTTTATCTTCTGCTTGCAGTCTGTACATTTTGCCATGTTTGCCTAAAACTTCATAATATTCTCTTGTATACTTTCTTCTATTTTTACGAACACGAATGTGAGTACCTGTCGAGTTCCCATTGTTGTCATAGTCAATAGTATTTTCATATGGGTCGCGTTTAGGTATTTCTATTTTTACCTTATCTCCTTTCTTAAGTTTGAAGCCTGGCATTCTTTCTTGTTTGTCTCTTTTGACTAAACTATTAAATATATAGTCTTTCTCTAAGTCGGGGTTGTTTTTCATTTCTTCGGGGGAGTGGTTTCCCAAACCTTTTTGTTTACGGTTATTGTAAATATTTAAAACTTGTCTCATCTTTGCCATGGAGAAGTGTCTGTACTTGTCGTCATATGACATTTCACCTACCTCACCACCTTGTGGTTGGTTTAAGTCTCTTAAGATTTTTATACAACCGTCAATGACACCAAGAGCAGAATGGTTTTGGTCGACAATGAAATATTGGTTTACATTTTTTGAACGCAGATAGTTTTTTACATCATCTGATTTGAAAGAACTTTCACAGTCAGATGTCAGTTTTGTTGGATGGTATTTGTCAACGAATATTGTCAAAGCAGTTTTCACATCTAAAATATTTTTGGACTGTAATGGTATGGCTTCACAGTATCTTGTGTTTTGACCGACAAATATTAGCCAGTATGGAGGTCCATCTGTTCTAACTCTCGGAATGTTTTCCAAGATATCCATAAACCAAGCATTTGGTGTTGAACTAAAGATTTTTACCATGAGTGCTTTCTTTGTTGCCTTAGAAACATAGGGGTCCTTGTTTGGATTCGTCATTTTTTAACCCATAAGAAATGGGTTTATTTGGCGCATTAGCAGGAGTTGCATCCAGATTTTTGCCCGCAGTGGGAACAATAGCTAGAGGTGCATTTGGAATTGGAAGGAAGATTTTGAGTACATTAGGTATACTTAAAGAGAAAGCACAACCTATTATACAAACTGTACAGAAAGGTTGGGGGTAGCACGAGATGCAGCAAATCTTATTCCAAATCCTGAAACAAGAGGAAAAGTTCAAGGATGGATGGACAATGTAGGAAGACAAGCAGGAAACTATTATAACAAAGCAAATGACTACTATAACCAAGCAGGACACTATATGGACCAAGGTGAAAGATTCTTTAACAGAGGATATAACCATGCACAACAGTGGGTAAACAATAACCAACCGCAACCACCTCAAACTTGGGAATGTAAAGTTTTTTACTGAGATGAAATGAACAATACAGCATTGAGACAAATGGGTTCAAGATGGATTTGTCGACTTCCAGCAGTTACACAACCACGTGTTTGTCAAGTTCTTCCTATACCTCAGGAAGTTTTAGACCGACTTAAAAAACCTAAACAACCAGTTGAAAACAAACCAAACTAAAATTTTTTACTGAGATGAAATGACCGAAGAAGTTGAAACGGTAGATTTGACACCACAAACAAAAAGTTCAGAACCATTGTCAAAACCTGTCAAAGAACTTACAGATGAAGAGAAAAATTCAATAATAGAAAGTGCCAGGTCTGGAAATACAAACCCTAACTACAAAGTCACTTTTCATAGAAATGGAACGGCTAGTATCTCAAAAAAGAAACAGACTCTCACAAATAAAATATTGAAGTCTGAAGGAATTTTCGAGACAAAAGATGGAAAAGTATACTTCACTGACAAACAGTTCATTATAGAACATCTCATTGACTTAGAGTCAAAATATTCTAAACTTTACAACAAACACAAAAGTTGAAAGGAAAACAAAACAGATGGCATATGATATTTACGAAGATGTTGACGACACAACCATACCTGCAAGTGAGGTAAAGTCAGAGGAACCGAAAAGTGACGAAAAACCAATAGAAGAAGGGAAGCCAAAAACTGAAGATAAACCAAAACCAAAGTTTAGTTTCCAAACTAAACCAAGTCAACCTTCATTAGCTGGTATGGGTTGGCGTCAAAGACTTCTGGTAGCGGGAGGTTACGTAAAGTAAAGAAAACAGTATATTTTTAAAAAAATATTTTTTTATTTTATTTGAAATGTACGCCGAGTTTGTTGGAGTAGACCGTTGGGAAACTTGTTTGTTAGATGAGAAATATGAAATTCACTGTTCTGAGCCTTTTGAAATAAGGAAGAAAGAGACAAAAAGAGTTTTAAGCGAATGGGAGCGAAATGACGGATATGCTAATATGAGGATGAGTGGAAAACACTATCTTAAACATGTCGTCATTGCAACTCATTTTATACCGAATCCTAACAATCTACCTTTTGTAGACCATATAAACCATATAAGAAACGACAATAGACTTAAAAACTTGCGTTGGGTCACTCGTTCTGAAAACAATAAGAACATAAGCAAATTTGGAGATATTGTATTCGAATTTGTCGACGAACTAGAAGATGAAGCAATTGAAATTAGAGACTATGGTAAGCATACGTTTGAGTTTTACTACTATAGCGAAGAACAAGACTCTTTCTACTTTTATACCGGCGTAAACTATAGGAAATTACAAGTATATTTTACTAAGGCGGGCTATGCTCATGTAAACGCTAGAGATACAGATGGAAAACGCGTTCGAATACTTCTTAACAAATTCAAGAAGCTATATGGCATACCATTTTAAAACATTTTTTTTAAAACAGTATATTTTTACATATATTAAATGTTTCAGGTTGAAAAACAAAGAACAAAAGTAGCAGATACAAAACCGTTAGACTATATCTTTACAAACGCTGGTAGGACTATATCAGATGAAGAAATTTCATCCCGTACTTACAGGTTTGACTATCCAATTCGTTGGCTTCAAAGTCCTTCAGATGCAAAGGCAATAGGATTTAGAAGAGTTTTGTTTTCAAATAGAACGAACGCTTTTATGTTCGCAGTATATTTTCATGGGCAGTATAGAGGTTCTGATGGTCTAATAGACAGATTTGACGAAATGAGAATCTTTACAGTTCGTTCAGACGAAAGTCTTGAGAAAACTCTAAATGACTTTCAAACTCAAATAAACAAATACTACTGGGAATTTCAAGAAAAATATGAGTCTTTACTAAACGGAACGTACTATCTGAAAGTAGAATATGACAAGATGAACTCCACCGTTTCATTTCAAAAGATTGAAATTAACCCTCCAAGAGATACACAGTTTTTATTTTGGCAAGTAGACAAACGTTCTTGGGCACAATTTCTTCGGTTACTAAACCAGAACGAACCATTACCACCTGACGGTCCGTTCTGGTTTATACGCCCACCAACAGATTTGACAGTTTATAGAAACGTGTTTTGACCCTCAAAATGTTATGTGTCATGCAAGTTTCAGTTCAAGCAACAATAGTTTTCTTTGTATTGGTAAGGACTTTTATGACTTTGCTTCTAAATTTTTACGAACCACCGAGTAACAGTTTCTCTGACTTTCAAGTTTGGTTTCACAACAAATGGTGTGCAACATATTGTTCCATTGTACTACGACTTTATCTCGAATTGTTTCATATATAACTACGGAGAAGTGCTGAAAAAGTATTGAAAAATAATGTTTATGTTAGAATGTTAGATCTAACACGTTTTCTAACACGTTTTCTAACATCGTAGAAAACTCATGAAACTCTTGAATTTTCATGAATTTCATCGTAAATGTTTTGTCGAAACTTCTTCATCGTATATTTTTTGTTAAGATTTCATCGTATATTTTTTGTTAAGACTTCTTCGTAAATGTTTTGTCAAGACTTCTTCTCCGTAATGAGTGTAAATCAGACCAAAAAATAAGTTTATGTTAGAATGTTAGATCTAACATGTTTTCTAACATGTTTTTCTAACATAAACATTATTTTTGCTGAATTCCGTATGAAATTTCATGAGTTTTGTGTGTTTTAGACCATGTTAGAAAACGTGTTAGAAAACATGTTAGATCTAACATTCTAACATAAACATTATTTTTGCTGAAAAATGACCAAATTTCATGAGTTTTGTATGTAAGAACAGTATGTCAGTCGAAGCAAAAACGTTCACGAACAAATCTAATGGCGAAACATTCACAAAAGGCACTTACAACGGTATTGAAGTCTTACGTAGAGACATGGATGGTTATATAAATGCAACAAAATGTGTCAGCAGTTAGGAAAGACTTTAGAAAGTTGTTGGAAATAAGTCCTGGGAAGAGTATTATAAGGCATTTGTGAAGAATATACCAACCCGCCGGAAACAGCGGGTTGCTTTTTATACAAAATTCATGCAGGAATTCCTGATGAAATCAAACAGGTTAGAGGAACGTATGTAGACCCAAGACTTATAAACTATATAGCAATGTGGGCTTCTCCAAAATATTGTATAGCAGTTGGAAAATTATGGACTCCATAGACAAGAAAGTTCATGAGAAATTAGATGAAGAAGAACTTGAAGATACAGTAGAGAATGCAAAACCTTGTTCGAAGAAGAAGTTAGAAAAATGCATGAAAAACAAATAGAACATGAACGTGAGATATGTTCTGGTTATAGAGACTCTCCATACGAACTAGACCAATGGGAACAAGAAGATTTAAAGAGAGAATTTAGAGAATATGAACTCGCTAAAGTTTCATTAGAAGCTACAGAAGAAGAGGTTAAAAGCTTGGGTCGTTTTGTACAAAATATTGTGAGTAAATGAACCATTTTTTTCGACAAAATATATTTTAGGTGAAGAGGTGAGATTTCACCTCTTTTTTCACCTGTTTTTTCACCCGTTGGATTTTGTATAAAAGCAACCGGAAGAATTCTGGCGGTTACTATATTCTTCACAAAATGCTTGTTTTGAGGTCGAGCCACTTTTGGCTCCACCTGTTTTTTCAACCAAAGCTCATTTTTTTCGGCAAAAATATATTTTAGGTGAAGAGGTGAAATCTCACCCGTTTTCTCACCTGTTTTCTCACCCGTTGAATTTTCATGAATTTCCTTAAGATAAAAAAAGTTAGTTTTTAAAAAAAATATTTTTTTATTTTTATTGTAAGAACATGTTAGCAACAACTTCACCAAACTCGTTAGTCATGAACCCAACATCTATGTTAGTAGAGATGAAAAGCTTCATTCCTTCTTCATATACTTTCGAAACAGAAATCCAGAAGATAAAGCAAGAACTTCTCCAAGGAGATTTAGATTGCACTGCAAAAGATGAAACAAATGAACAGTATCTTTATGAAATGCAGGACCTCATCGACCATCTACCTAAACTTCCTGAAATTCAGCAGCAAAAGCTCACTATTCCTGAATTCGATGAAATAGAAGTGAAACCAACTGACTCAGTAGAAATAAAGAAGTTCATACGAAAGGTAAACTATGAGTTTCTAGGATTTCATTGCAACCACAAAGTCATGGACAAAGACTGCGATATGGTATATAAGAACATCTCTGACATATATAAATCTGGGGAGTTTAAGACCTACGACAACTTTGTTTCGTTAGTTGCAAAATGTGTATGGCAGATAAGAGATAAAGATAAAAGAGGTAAAGTATGGAACGAACAGATAAGACCCGCTATGTTTGAGATGAAGAGAGCAATTGACGCCTTAGTTGTTTTAGCAGGTAAGGTTTCAGAATATAACGCAAAAATGAACCCGCAATGTTCTAAATGTAAAGCAGCAATGAGGAAATATAACTACTCCGTCAAAGAGATAGAACGTATGCGAAACGACTATGCAGATTTAAAGAAAGAAGCAGAAAAACCAGCAGAAGATAAAATGGACATGTTAGAATTTCTGAACAAAAACTATCCAACAGCAGAAGATTTCCTTCTATCTGACGTCAAGAAGAAATATAAAGAAACCTTCGGCATTGTTAAAACATTCGATGTACTGACAGAAGAAATAGAAGCTACGAAATTGTTCAGGATTTCAAATATACATCGTACAATTCATGTAAAACGCTTATAAAATAACTAGGGTGAGAAAAGAGGTGAAAAAACAGGTGAAATCTCACCTCTTCACCTCAATTATATTTTTGCTGAATTCTGAGTAAAATGACCAAATTTCATTATATAACTGTTATGAGTGACGAAGAGAACTTTGACACTTCGTAAAAAAATCCCTGAAATCATATCTTTTATACAAAATTCAAGAGGTGAAAAAAGAGGTGAAAAAACAGGTGAAATCTCACCTCTTCACCTAAAATATATTTTTGCTGAAAAAAATGACCAAATTTCATGAAATTTCTCTAGACCGACTTTTACAGGGGTAGCCAAAACTCATGAAAATCGTGAAAAATAACAGAGTATTTTGACAACTTCAAACAAGCAGAGTAAATGAACTCTTTATTTTTATTGACTTTTTACAATTTGAACTTTGTTCGCGTAGATATGAATTCTGAAAGAAGTATGAGGGTCTTGTATGACTTTGTACTTCTCCCATAGTTCATGTCTGTCAACTTACCTGCCATGGACTCTTTCATAAGTTCCATGAATCGTCTTCGGACAATCCGGGGAAAAGTATGATATCAGTAAGTATTCTCTTTACATCCTTACTTAAACTCTTGGCTGTCTGTACACAAATGCAACTGAGATGTTAAACTGTGTCTGAGCTTCTTAAGAATTCGACACATGTCTTGTTCTCTGTTCTTTAACAAAGGATGAGAAGCAAAGTCATCTAAGATAAGAAGACATCTATGAGGGTATGTCTTCCAATCGTAAGATTGCAATTTCTTCGAAATGTATTCTATCTCTTTCTGTTTGTTTCTGAAGTGTTTCTTCTCTAATATTCTCTGCATTCCTCATTTGGGTCTTTAAACTTAGAATTTATATACTCATTTATAGCATTATACTTCAAAACCCTTCTTTGGTACTTCTTTATCCAATCTAACAACTCAGTATCCTTTATACATACTAACTTAGACTTCTTTATAATATCTTTGAACGAATTGACGGTTTGGTCAAATTGACCAGAAGTACTACAAATACAACTAACTCATAAAATGGGTTCTTCTCATCTAGTTCTTGTTGTTGTGCAGCCATTTTAAGATAAGTGAAAGTCTTACCCGACCCAGGTGGTGCAATTAGACCTGTTATACCATTCTGAGCAAATAAGAACTTGTCATGTATAGGTTTTATCTGAGCATTTTCTAACTTCCTCTTGTTCTTGTTTAAAACATTCTCAAATTTCTTGTCAATGTCAGCAAACTTTTTTTCTAACATATTTTTAGAAAAATTAAAATTTTTATCTTTTAGAAAATGTCTAGCGATTTCGCTATCTATATTCGAGACAAGCTTTTCGACAGCAAAACATCTGTCGACCATAAAATCTTACATAGTGTAAACAAGAAAGGTGAATTTGTTCTAAAGTTCTGTTTCTGGGAATATGACAAGAACCATAAAACATTAAGCAGAGAAGTCTTAAAATTTGTCAATGACAGACTTGTTGACAGAGATGACGCCTCTTGGAAAGATGAAGTCCAACAAAAGTTCTTAGAATGCAAAGAAGACACATGCGCTGTTCTTGAAGATGAAATAGAAAACAGAATAGAAGAGCTATTAAAGGACAAAGAACTTTTACAAAAATATGGTTCGGAGAAATTTGACATAACTCCACCAGAAAAGAAGAAGAAGAAGAGAGAAAAGAAAGAAAAGAAAGTAGAAGAAGAGAAAAAAGAACCTGAACCAGAGCCAGAGAAGAAGAAATTTGACATGTAAAAATAAAATTTTATTTTTAGAACATTTCTGGGTCAATGTCAATGTTCTCTTCCTCTTTAGGAGCAAACACTGGCTTAGACTCTAAAATCTTTTTACCTAATTTACCCTGAACTTCAACTATCTTAGACTCATAATATTCATAGTCGTCTGTCTTCTTTGGTTCATAAGGTATAACAAGTTTGTATGCTTTGCCTTCTTTAAGGTTTGAAAACCTTCTGTCAAAATTTTCTTTGACTGCTAACAAACCTTCTATGTCTAAGTCTTCAAATTTCGCACCATTTTTAGTCACAATAGCAAACTTAACTGGTTCGATGTTCCAAACTTTGTCAAATGAAGACTTTTCAAAATGGTAGAAGTAAACATTCAAATATATGAATGGGTCGAGTTCTTCTTTGACTTCTGTCATGTACTTGTTTACTGAAATATATTTCATCATCTTTTCTATCGGATAAAAAAATATTTTTTTTTAAAAAACGTTTTAAAATGGTATGCCATATAGCTTCTTGAATTTGTTAAGAAATAGTCTAACGTATTTTCCATCTGTATCTCTAGCGTATACATAAGCATAGTCTGCCTTAGTAAAACATACTTGTAATTTTCTATAGTTTACGCCGGTATAAAAGTAGAAAGAGTCCTGTTCTTCGCTGTAGTAGTAAAACTCAAACGTATGCTTGCCATAGTCTGTAATTTCAATTGCTTCATCTTCTAGTTCGTCGACAAATTCGAATACTATATCTCCAAATTTGCTTTTGTTCTTATTGTTTTCAGAACCAGTGACCCAACGTAAGTTTTCAAGTCTATTGTCGTTTCTTATACGGTTTATATGGTCTACAAAAGGTAAATTGTTAGGATTCAGTATAAAATGAGTTGCAATGACAACATGTTTAAGATAGTGTTTTCCACCCATCTTCATATCAGCATATCCGTCATTTCGCTCCCATTCGCTTAAAACTCTTTTTGTCTTTTTGTTTCTGACTTCAAATGACTCACAACAGTGAATTTCATATTTCTCATCTAACAAACAAGTTTTCCAACAGTCTTTTCCGACAGACTCAGCGTACATTTCAAATAAAATAAAAAACAGTATTTTTTTTATTCTTGACTTTGTTGTTCTTGAGCTATTTGTTGTTCTTGAGCTATTTGTTGCATTTGTTATTCTTGACTTTGTTGTTGCATTTGTTGTTCTTGAGCTATTTGTTGTTGAAGTTGTTCTTGTAGTACAATACTTTCACCAGTTGCATCTTCCAATTCGAAACTTTCTGCCGTCATTGACAAATACATAGGACATAAAAGTTTTACAGGAACAAAGTTTGCGTCAACTAATGTCAACGTTATACTTGCCAAAGTGTTTGAGTTCACTAAGGTTGAAAATTCTGCATTCGAATGAACAATAGGCAAACCAGCAGAGAAAGTATTGTTTATACGCATAAGTATCTTTTGGTCATAATAGTTTCTGTCGACATTCGAATAACACTTTGAACCTAAGTTTGAAACAATATATAAAATAGGTGTACTTAAAGTCAATGGAATAGACATTCCTTGTATGACACCTTTTCCTGTTATAGGAAACTGTTGGTAGTAAAAACCAGAAATAAGTTTTGTATTATAGCTCATATCGTTTATACTAAACTCAGTCGGACATCCAAACATAATGAAACCTGCTCTAGTTGCAGCACATGTTACATCCGTCCTTAAAGTATTAAATAAGTCAACAAAACCTGTTGGTGGTATATCTGAGTAAGTATCTTCAAAGAAGTATTTTTTACCATTCACAACAATAAAATCTTCTGGTGTCAAAAGAGCAAAACAGGCTTTAGTCGTCATCGTGTTTAAGGTCAGTTTACAATATCGTCCTTGAGGACTTTGTAAGTTTGTTGTTATAGAATTATATGACTCAGGGTTTTTAGTCGTAATAGTATAAACCACTATGTCTTCTGCCATTTACTTAGCAAGTAAATTTTAATGAAATGTTGTGGTCGTCAAATATTTTATGACGTCTGGGAAACTATATTTTAAGTTCAACGTTTCACCTCCTTTCATAACGTATATCTTGTCAATGACATTATATGAAACACCACAGCAAGCAATGTCGGGCTCTATTTCTTTGATGTTTATATCGTCTGCCTCTGTCAAAAGTTTCAATAGTTCTTTCAAAACTTCACGAGGTGCGATGACATATGAGTTCACTTTTACAGGGTTGTGCTCAACCAAGTTTAACATTATACCCAAAGCCTGACAAATCTTCTCCTGAGTTTTAAGTTTGTCTTTAAGTTGTTGGTAGTCGTTTCGAATATCTGCAACAGAACTTAAGTCTCTGCTAACTTCAGGGTATGTTGGTTGTTCTTTTACAGGAACTATTGTTATACCATCTTCGTCTTCGTATGGTTTCCCCACTTCAACATCTCTTTCTTTGACATTGACAACAACACTTTGACTGTTTGTTTGAGTTGGTGAATTTAACTTCACATCTGCCACCGCCATTAAACCTTTTGAAACACTCACGCTTCTATTTTTCGGAAATGACATTTTACTTAGAATAAAAAGATGGACGTATTCGAGTATCTCTTCGAATTGAAGCAGAACAAAGTTTACACACACAAACAATACAAATACATTGACAGAATAGTTCTTTATACAAACAATGGAAAATGTTATAGAATAGCAGTCTTTGCTGAACCAAAATATTTTCATAAAGCAAAGAAAGTTGGTATAACCGAGATGGTGAAAGTTCTTGACGTTGACAAAAATATAACAACAAAACTGACCGATATTTCTAAAGGTAAGTTTTTAATACAATACTATGTCAAAACTGGCGTACTGTCAATATTTGACGGAGAGAAGTCAGTTCAAGAACAACTTACTGACCTGCTGCCAAAATCTGCTCGATGGAAGCTGTCGTTATACCAATCTGAGGAGCCCCAGCAGGTTTCATCGAACGAATCTTCAAAAGAGCATCTTCCGTGAAAAGTGCTATTGGTTTTGTAAACTTCTTTGCTCTCAATTCATTTGGACCGTCTCTGTCACCAGTATATTGTATTTGAACTGTACCAACAGTTGAAATACCACCCATAAAGTCTTCTGAGTCAGCAAATGGAATGCCAAGCCAAAAGTTTGAACGGTCTCCATTTGTATATTGAGTGTTTTGAGCTCCTGTATGGGTCCATACTTTCACATATGGCATAATAGAACTTTGCATTTCAGGGTTAATGGTTGTTGTGAAGTTGTTGTTAAAGTTCATAGCATCTAATGTCA